CTGAGGTGGGGGATGGGGTCAGGTACAACTGTATGAGCAGTCTACGGAGTAATCTACGGACAACAGGACCCGACATTCGTAACTTAAAATGTATTCCTCAAACTCAGGTCAGAGATCTCGTTAGATTCGTCTATTTACCGGATCACTCAAAAACAAACTCCTAGCTTTTCCAGCCCTGGAACGATGAAGTCTACCCACAGCATTCTAGCTTGTAGGTATTGCAGTATCACAACCATAGAAAATCGAATAAGAAGAAAAGAAGAGCATTTGACGCTCATAACAGAGTGGATATCATCGACTGAAGGAAACTTCAGATAAGAGAATAAATGGGGGAAAAGAAATGAGAAAAACCAATCCAGGTGGAGGGCAAAAGATATCACAGAGTAACAATACCCTATAACTCCAGCAGGAATACTCAATAGATGAGTACCTGGCGCTGATCTTCGTTCCAATCACATACCTTTTATCAACACCTTTCCGAGTACGAAGAGTATCAAATGTTGTTCTCCAGAGCAGTCATAAACATAAAATCTCGTTTCGTGAAATCGTTCAATCAAGACGGCAGTCATAGCGCCAGAAATGATGCCAGGCTCGCTGCCGCAACACACATTTACTGGTCTCTCAAGCCTCCAATCAAGGTGCGAAGTGCGTCCAGAATGACAGCCTCGTCCTTAGGCTCCCCGCCAGGGAATGAGCTCTCCGTCGCGTGGCCCAGAGCACGAGCCCGTGCGCTCTTGAGGACTTCCTTGATGTGATTCTTGTCCTCGTAGTCTTCCAGGAGAACAGCCTCAAAGTCATCAATGGCTTTGCTTGCGCGCTCCTCAAACGACACAGATTCGGGATCCCCCATCGGCGTGGGGCCAGCGTTCATGGGCGCAACATTATAATTGGGTTGCTGTTGCTGCTGTGGAGGCTGCATCGGTGGTCCCGGGTTCGGTGGGAGATACTGCTGTGGTTGCTGAGGGTTTCCCGGAGGCGGAGGTGGCATATGCTGCTGTTGTTGAGGCGGTGGCGGTGCGGTAGCGTTGTGTGGAGGGTACGGTGAGTGATGTTGCGACTGCGAGTGCATCCCTGGTTGTTGCTGCGGTTGCTGAGGCTGCTGAAACTGAGCCAGCTGCGGTGGGGGATCGGAAGCATAGGGTGAAGTATATGTAGAAGGCGTAGTCTGAGCAAAGGCGGGCGGAAGGTTGTTCCGCAATGGACTGGGGATGGGGAAAGGGGCCGAGGCTGGGACCGCCTGCGGCGGAGGGTGAGGAGGAGGATAGGGGTCTTGATGACGAGGAGGAGCGGAGGGAGGTGCTGTAGCAGAAGAGGCAGGAGCTGGTGTGGGAGGAGCATATGTATTCGGAGGCATGGTCGGGAACTGGAAATGTTGATTCGCCAGATTCGCTTGTCCATTCTGTGGATTTCCATAGGATGGGTTCAACGGTGGCATGTATTGCGGGGCGGAAGCCGGTACGGATGGAGGCTGTGATGGCGGTGGAGGTGACGGACGTCTCTTCTTTTCCTTTTCGACGGATGCGCCCGGTCGAAGTTGCCACGACCATCCTTTGCCATCTCGTTCGGCGTGCATGAACAAGTGGCTGTTGCCGTTCAAGTTGTGCCGTACACTGGAGGTCCAGCCCTCGGTCTCGCACTTGAAACGGAAATAGGGGTATTTCAACTTCAATGCGCGATAGATCTGCTTCAAGGTCATCGGCGTGCCTGCTTCCGTGAGGGCGTCGAAGATCAGGACAGCGTAATTGTACGGAGGCTTTGCCAGATCCTCCGGTGTATAGGCAGACTCGGGAGGGTAGTTGGGAGAGGGTGACCGTGAAGGTTTGCGCTTCTTGACCGGAGGAGCCTTGATGAACTCTTCCGGGCGTTGTTCCATAGGAAATGGGCCACCCTCAGTAGAAGGCAGGGGATAGTCCATGAGCGTTCCGTCCGGCTTCTTCCGCTTGGTGTACTTGCGCTTTTCCGGCTTCGACCCGGGAGACTCGCCCTCGCCAGGAAGACTCGGTGTAGCGGCTGCAGTGCCCACAGTTGATGTGGTTGAGGTTGTCGTCTTACCGGCTTTGGGTCGATTCAGAGGAGGAGGAGTGACGCCTCCGTTGGCTTCCCGCTTGGCAGCCAGTTTCTGCTCCCTTGCCAACTCTGCACGTTCGCGCTTGGACATGATGCCGTCTTTGGGAGGTCGCCCAGGACCTCGGCGACGAACAGGGTGCTGAGCGCCGTCTCCGGTGCCTTCTATCGAAGGTACCGGTCGTGAAGGGTCGGATTCTTTGGTCTTTAGAACGAGCTTGGTCGGTTTGAATGAGTCCTTGTTTTCAGCACCTTCGCCCTTTTCCACAGCTCCTTCAGCGTCATACTCAGCGCCGGCAGATGCCTTGGCATCCCCGTTCTCTTCTATCGATGGCTCCTCGACTCTGTCGGCTCCAGTCTCGCCAATTGGTACATCTGGCAGCAAAAATCGTATGCGCACTCCGCCGATTTGTATGTAATCACCACTATGCAAAGGACGGACTTGACCGGGCGATAGCCAGTCAGCACCGATAAAAGCACCATTTCTGCCCATCACTTCCATCTCAAATAGGTTTTTATCAAAGTTGTAGGCAATCTTGACATGTTTACGTGAAATGCCTCGGTGTCCAGCGGCACTACCGTCAAGAGTAGCAGGAGGGTGAATGGGGATGGTCGGGCAAGCGTCGGGCGAGGGTAGGAGAGCGAGCGCATCTACAGGCTTTGCATCTCCGTTGGCTTCGTGCAGCGATTGCATCGCAAGCGCATTGTAGTCGGTAGTGGATTGCAGTTGAGCCGGCGTCGCATGTAGCGGAGCACCCGCTTCGGAGGAGTGCGACGACCTCCGACTGAGACGTTTAGGAAGATGAGCCGGAATGTCAGGGTCGAGTCCCATGATACCACCTCGGTCGCTCACAACACTTCCTATCATGCCACTGCCCTCATGTTTTACCCGAACCGGCGTGTGCGATGCATTGCCACCGCTCGAACTTTTCGCCCTTGATGTCCTGATCGCCTGCCTGGCCTGAAACTCCCGTTGATGCGCCGCCCGAGCTGCTCGTACGTCTCGCCCTAGGATAAAAGAATAAGTGTTGCAGTAAAAATGTCCGTCGTCGAATTCTAATTTGGCAAAGGCCTGGATGCGCGGTTCCGATCCACCCAACGAGCCTGTACCGTCCTGCAAATGACCTGCCGAATATCCCAGTGCAGAGAGGTCAGCAGATTGGGACAGATAAGCCGACGTAAGCATCTCATTGTCGAAAGGGTTCTTTCCGGCAGATGCGATATCGAATGGTGTGAAAAGATCTGAGTCGTTCAGGCCCGTCTTAGAGAACATCATAGGATCCGTCAAACCCTCTGCAGGATCCGGCGTCTTCATCACAGCATCAACTCCATGATTCCCAGATTCCTCGGATTTCGGAAACGACATATCAGCGGGTCTATCTTCGCGATTTTTCTCTCCATCTCCCGGCAAGCGTGGTAAGTCAGTTGATGCGGAAAATTGGTCTCGGCCGGCGGCCGACTCTGCGGGCGCAGAGATCTCTGTAGAGACGTTTGTCGATCCTTGGCCACCCGCAATTTGTTCTGAGGGATTATTTTGAGAGCTTTCGGTCGGATTGGGAGGATTATTTGTCGAGGATGAGGATTCTGCAGGTTGTGTTTCGGTGCCGGCGGGAGGCGCAGAAGATTGGTTGCCGAGGAGTTGAGCCAGAAGGGCACTGGCGGCGGACTGGCGGCGGAGATCGTTCTGATGATCTGGCTGAGCGCCGGCGAGATCGTTTCCTGCATCACTGGGCTCGGACTTGATGCCATTCATACCGGAGGAAGAGGTTAAACCGTTGGAAGGAGAGACAGGACTGTCAAAGGTAGAATCGTGCAGAGCGCGGGTTGCGGAGTCGCTGCGCGGGGAGAAAGGGCCGTCGTCTCGCTGTTGCTGGTGGTTCTGATGTTCCTGCTGTTGCTGCTCTTGGCCCTCTTGGTGATGATGATGATGAGGGCGGCCATAGTCGAACAGGGACGACATATCTGGACCTGCATCAGGAGGTCGATGGCCCACCGCTGGCGCTGTCATGGTCTGCGACGACGACATGACAGGCTGCTGGGTACTTTGGATGCTCGATGCTGTCTAGGAGGAGACGGACAGGCAGGGAGAGGAGAAACAGGGCGGTGAGAACAGGAAGCCATTCAGAACGGAAGTTGGGCTGGGGAAGAATGGACAGAGACCAATGCTGATTGGAAGGACGCGAAGTTTTCTGCTGTTTTTTTCTGCCGGCTTCTCGCGGCGGTACTGGCCACTGTCGTTCACCGTAATCCCGAGTAACACACCACTAACATGCAGCAATCACTCAATTACTTTTGAGTTTGTGCCTACGGATATTTGTGTTGATCTCAGATCAGTCCTGAAGATTGGCACAGAAGAAGTGGGCATAAGGATGAAAACTTCATTGACTGTAACGCTCATATTCTGGACTCTGTAGAGTATGAAATTTCTTTCTCGAGGCCCGCCCGCCCATGTTTCTTTCGCTCTGAGGAATCCACTTATTTACTACGGTCCGCTGCTAATTCGTTGAGATGATTGAGAAGACTCAATCCTATCCTATTTCCGACCTTTGCTTCCATGGGCCTAGAAGTGAACTACGCGCTCTGAGATTTAGCTTTTCTGACTATGTCTGCATGGTCAAGCCGTCCTCAATCCGTGGTAGCTACAGTAGAATGATGAAATAAGTAGTCCGTACTCGGATAGATCCATCGCTACATCGTGGAATCGATATGCGGCGGAACTTCGATTAGATTGTTACAGAGAAATACCCCTCTAGTATTCAGATATATGACCGAGACAAAAGCTCTTCAGTGTAGAGGACTATATAGAGGACTATAAACTGTTGATTGAGGTTATGTCGTACTACTCCTTCACCACCTATTTCCACAGCGCCACAGCATAAAAGACCACCATTTCTGCACCTGTATATACTCACGGAACTTAGTACAGAACCCAAGCTCTAAAAGTCTCAAATCAAAATATTCCACACGTTGCATATAGAATGTATGTCTATGCCAAGAACTATACTCCATCAGCTTCCATCCGAGGAGTCTAGTCTAATCATCACCATACCCCCAAAACAGCATTAAAACCATCTCGAACCTAAGTACAAAGAATCAGACGAAAAGGGACAAAAGATGCCTCCCAAATCCAAAAAGGAAACCCCAAGGCCAAATCCCAACCTCCAGATCAGCCAAAACCCAACTGGCCTCCCCTCCGCCCCTCATTCCCCATCAGACCTTTCCCTGGAATCCCTTCTCCACGACCAAATCTACCTAATCCGCAACTTCCTCCCCTCCTCCCTCTGCAAAACCTACGCCTCCTTCCTAACCTCGCTCCCACTCACCACCACCCCCGGCAAACCCAAAAAGGGCGAGGCCGTCCGCGTCAATGACCGGTTCCAGGTACAGGATGCCGACTTCGCGGAGAGGCTGTGGAGCGGGACTGCGCTGAGGGAGCTGGTGAGCGGTGCAGTTGACGAGGACGAGGATGGCGATGGGCGGCCACGCTCAAACAGGGAGATCTGGGGCGGGGAGCCGCTTGGTCTGAATGCGAATATTAGGATATATCGGTATTCGAAGGGCCAGTTCTTCGCGCAGCATTGTATGTTCCCGCCACCCACTCTTTGTCATTCGTCTCTTTGGGGATAGATGGGCTGATGAATTGCTAGACGATGACTCGAATGTGGTTACGTTCGAGTCCCCTCAACATAAGCCGCAGCAGGCTCGCACGACCTGGACCCTCCTCGTCTACTTGACGAGCTGTGCCGGCGGGGAGACAGTCTTCTACCCTGAGCCGACCCGTGCGAATCGCAACCCGGAGCCTATTGCTGTGGCGCCAGAGGTGGGCATGGCGCTGCTGCATCAGCATGGAGAGAGGTGTCTTCTGCATGAGGGCAGGGAGGTCACCGAGGGCGAGAAGTGGGTTTTAAGAAGTGATTTGGTGGTTGCGCGGTGAAAGATGTGAGCTGACTTTTGTCTGCGTCTCACCTGTTGTTGATAAGATTCTACGTGCAAGAGGCTGTTGTGCTTATAGAGTTGCTTATGGGCGTGAGCCTGGACTTCTCTGGACCCAGTCTGATCATTCAACAAGCGGTATTCATGTCAGATATATGTTCAGAAATCAAGCCGAATAGGACTGGCTCGTCAACAGCATTCAGTGTATATTTGCATAAGAATGAAACTATAGAGTCACAATACAGGATGTTGCACACCGTCCATCCTTCAATGCTCATCAGACAACCCCAAAGAAATAGTTTCGAATAGCAGCCACTGAGATGTAATGGTAACAGGGACGTCTGCAATGTTTTACCCCCATAAGGGAGAACAGAATGATGGATGCTGGAAAGAGACAAGGACAAACCCGGTTTCGGCTCACACGAGCATCAAAGTCGCACAAATGAACCGTTATAAAACTTAATCCACAGTGTGATCCCAGCACTTGAAAGGCAACCTACTATGTCGGTAACAAGACAGTGAAACCCGAATGATCAATCGGAAAGCTTCTCATGTTCATCGCTTCATATTCCCAAGACCAAGCCTGCCTTTACCTTGTCCGTTGAGCCCAAGAAAGAACGATAAACGAGGTACAAGAATAAGAACTAAAAATGATGATGACCAAGCATGTCTCCACTTCAACCACTTTATCCTATCTATCGGATCGCATCACGAGGGCGAAGGCTTCGCGGAGTATTCGGCCCTCCTCATAATGTCCTCCACAGGCCCCAGTAACCGCTTGAACCCATCTCGACCAAGTCGTGCAACTTTGGCGTCGGTCTTGGCGACTACGCTAGCGGCACGAGGTTTGTCGTCCAGCAAGGCGAGTTCTCCGAAAAAGTCGCCCCTCTTATACGACTTGACGGGGCCCTCCACGTCCTTCTTGAAAGCTTCCGCCTCCCCAGACTCAAGCAGATAGAAAGCATCGCCTGGAGCGCCCTCCTCGATGATCGTAGAGCCAGCTGGGTATTTAATCGCATCGAGCGCGTCGGCAATCTTGGCGCGCTCATAAGGTTTGAGAGAAGAAAGCAATGGCACCTCTTCCAGGAAAGCCTCATACATGCGGCGTCGCTGGAAGGCAGAGTCCATGAGAATCCGGCGGAAAGTAATGCGGTCCAAAGCCCAAAGCGTGCTCTTGGGGTCTGCTGAGACAACAGTCGCGGCTCGGGGTGCGTTGTACATCAACGCTAGTTCACCAAAGGAGCCCCCAGGACCAATGGTGCTGACCTTGTTGCCCATACCATCAGGGCCTGGTTGGACTGAGCCCGCGGCGTTGATATACACATCGAAATGGCCATTCTCCACGATGTAAAAGTAATCACCGGCATCTCCCTGGGAAATCACCTTGATATCTTTTGCAGGAATGGGTTTTTCGACCAAAGCGTCAAGTACAGTCTTGAATTGGTCGTCGTCCAGGTGAGAAAACAAGAAGTTGTTGCTCACAGCCGTCTTCAATCGCGAAAGCTGTTCTTCGGTCTTCGGATGACATGGAGGCGTCCAGCTATCTGAGCCAGCAGAGGTAGGATTCAGGGACTCGGCGGATACAGAGGTACGGCGGCCCAGCGCATAGTTGTTAGGGAACCCTTGGTTGGCGGCTGCCGTTGGGCGAGCTCCTCCAGGAGGTTCGGGGTGTTCGCCTTGACCTTCGCTCCCCTGACCAAATCCTGCATCAAAGGGCCGATTGAACTGTATTCCTTCACCACCTTCACTGGAGTCATTGCCTCCAGGGAACGTGTTTCCAGCTGTGGGCGCTGTAGCGGCGGAGTGTGCACTGCGGAAAGTGGGATTGGTCGGTGACGTCACCTCATATTCTTCCTCCTCGGATATCTTCTGAATCGGAGAATATTTGTCGTCTTTTGTGTTGACCTTAAGGAACGGGTTTGTACCCGGGAAAGAAGAGCTATCAGCCATCCTGTGGGCTGTAGGGCCGGAGATGGTACAGCTCCGGCCAACTTTGGAGCGGGGGAGGTAGAGAGCTCGGTTGTTGCGGGCACAGCTGGTGGAAGGACAGAGAAGAAAGTGGTCTGTAGGAAGTTAGAAAGCAAGGAAGACAGATCTTGAGCTCCAATTGGGAAGATAGCGGATGAAAGGTCTTTTATGGAAGAGAAATGTCGGAGTTGGAGCAGCAGAAGATGGTGGTGAGGAGGGGCGGGGAGTTGAGAGAGAGACGCACAGCAACCGTCTCCGCCAAAGACTGGGTGGGTATCTCAAGGTGAAGCCTAATTGGAGAGTTTAAGAACGCAGCGACCCGAAGATGATCGTATGCTTCCTTCTACAGCTCCTTCTCTTTGAGTAATGAAAGTAGGAGAACGCGCGATGGCTTTTTTCTTGTTTCAGTGATCCGAGAGAGACGAAAGAAGTTGCGTACCCAATTTGAAACAGGAAGTATTGGGCAAGGAATGATAAACAACAAGTACGACAAGGAAGAAAGGGAAAAAGGGACAGTTGAAGCTTGAGAAAAACGGAATGGAGCTACCGACCTAAACTCTGTCTCTTATATTGATGGGTCGCGTGAAGAGTTTCCTGAGAGATGGACGTATGATGACTCGAACTGAGCCGAGACAAGGATTCAGAGAGATGACACCCGGTAGCCGAGGTGAGACCGTCCAAGCAGATAGGGGCAGGGGTAGTAGTAGTAGTAGGAGAAAGAGGCAAGAGAAAATAGAGGGGAACTCTTGAGCAAAGTGGAAAGGAAGATGGGAGAGGAGCAATACCTAAAAAACTGATTCAGAGGGGTCGCAGAAAGGAGGAGGGGGAATCAGTGGAAAAGGCGGGGAGCAGCAGGATGTGACGGAAAGCTTGCTATGGCTTGTGCTTCTACATTTATCCAGAAGACGATCAATTTCAATAAGAGCAAAATCATATTATAAGGTGCTCTCTCCTTCTAAGTGTCAAGTGTTCTTCAGCTACCTAGCTATCTGCCATAAGATCTACTCATGATTATAGCGAGGATAGACGTGATGGCAAGTCGTCGGCTCCTGCATCACACCAGGTTAGATCGACGTCACGGATTGCCCCCTGCTAGACCATACACTACGCCAATAGTCGATGGTGCATTCTGCAATAGTCTGATCTTGAACAGACGATAAGAGGTTAAGGAGGGAATAATCAACGCCTAGTTAAAGAAAGGGATCCATCTGACTTGGTTCTTTCCTTCTAGTTATCCAAGAAAAGCCAACAATGAAAATCGTGGGACGGAAGTTCCTATTGGAAATGTGACTTCCAGGTGTCTTCTAGAACGTTTGGACGGGGCCTAAAAACAGATTAAGAGTTTAGAAACGTCCCCGAGGACTCCGCTGAGTATCTAGATTGCCCACAATAGGGGGATGGAAAAGGGGGAATAGCATAGAGAGAAAACTTTCTATTCTTCAATTCCAGAAGTTTTAACATAATTAGCTCTATAGTTATGCCTACTCTCAGTGATACTTACCACCCGAATAGGGCTTGAAGTGAATGATGAAGAATTGTGTGGCGAAAAGCTATCAGCTCCAAGCTTGGTGAGGTCATGAGTATCCAACGTTAATAATCGCTGACGTCTGCGACGGAGTATCGGCTCCGGATCTTCATGGATTTCTGGTACCAAAGTACCGCTGAGTGTCCGTCCCAGTGAAAGAGGTTGACCACATTCTGACTCTTGAGAGTTTCTGGTTCTTGCTGAGCTTCCGCCCATGGATGGATGTCTCGTTACCTAGGTAGCTTTTGCTCTAGATGATGGTTGATTGTTACCCAAGATCAAGGCTGGACTTGAAGACTAATGCCTAGGAGCGATTGGTTCATGGTATGCTTCTTTTCTAAGTTGGGATGGATTTTCCTCCTTGGTGTTACTGCTGGAGCGCTGTGTTCTTTCGAGGTAATCAATCTTTGCAATGCTTCCTAACCGAGGAGAGTAGCATGAACGTGCGGTGAGTTTAATGCAACAAACAGGCAATGTATGGCGTGTGTACAGTCTACCTTAGTGTGGTGTATCCGAGCAGGTGATAAGCAATGGCCGTTTTGACAAGGTTCCTGCAGCTCAGTTTTGAACACCTAATGTACCTCGGTCGCATCAGGAATGTATAGTCCGACAGAAGATTGATTGAATGATGCATCTACTTGATAATATTATTGATGCGCCTGTTGAAATTGAGGTGTTATTACTAAAGCGTATTGAGACTGCAAGGTCAATTTTCATTAGACTTGTCCTGCCGCTCTACTGAGACTAAGGTACTGCTGCACAGTGAAAAAGGCAGTACAAAGCACGTACAGTCTCTGTCCCGAGTCCAGCCCATCACTGATGAGTTGTACAATGTTCATAATGATAGAGGCACATAAAAAGCCATTTCCTCCGAGACCATACATACCCTCGTGGATCTCCCGGATAAGCAGCATGTCTCGTTTAGCTATAGCTTTTAATCACTGATCTTCTTCATTCTTTCGCTTTTGAGATAAAGCGGTCTAGACGGAGTCTTCATACCTCGAGCAAAGAACCGGGTAGTTCACAAGAGAAGCGAAAAGTTCGACTGCCAATTGTCATTGATGCTATCGAGGCCTATCAGAATCCTTGATTGAGGCCGACCGAATCACCCAAAAGGTCTGTGTCACCGCCACCCCGCTCAAGTTAAAGCTCTAGATTCCCCAGCGCAAAAAAAAGGTGGTCACCGCGCTCGATTTTTCCAGCCTCTCAAATATCTAATATCTCATAGCTTGGCTGAGAGCCACAGTACAAAGACGAAGGAATTATAAAGAGGATCTGTCAGACAGTGTGTCGGCACGTTCAATAAGAGGCGCAACGCGGAAATTGAGGATCCCTTGCTTCTACAGCTGCAGCAAGTCTCTGCACAACCCAGCGGAGTACTCGTTCGTCCGACTATCATACATCGCCGCCAGTCTACAGTGTATGTCTACATCGCGCTGGAAGATGGGAAGCTACACGTTCCAATGGTGAGTCAATGGGAGATTTCCTTTCTTAAATCTCGTAGAATTTGAGCTTCTTTCTTAGCTGTGGTCTCCTGCGCCCCAGGCGATCCAGGCGATCGAGGCCCTACTTCGATGGCTAAAGTCGGGAACTCGGTACACGGAGAACCGTGTGTGGATTTGATGGCTGACTGCTTTCTCGCATATGGCTTGATTATAGGCCACACCCGGCGAACGAGGTATTTGTCACAGGCAGCTTTGATGATTGGGGTAAAACGGTGAAGTTGGATCGCAATGGTGCTGTCTTTACGAAGGAGGTCCAACTCCCATCTGCAGACGAGAAAGTGCATTACAAGGTAGGTAGCGATCTGAGATCATTTCCTTTCCCCATTCACTGCTGTACTTTATTTCAATTACATTGAACGTCTGTCAAATTGACACAGACATCTGGACAACCGTATTATTGCATGGATCCATCTTTTCTGTCTGCCTACGCTTCCCCATCCCCTCAATGACGCTGGAAGGCTTTCCGCTTACTTCCACTGACGTCATATCACCGCCTCGCTCTCACCTTGGTTTCTTTGGCTCGCCCAGCTTCCAGTTTTTGACTTATAAGACAACCTTCAACGTCAGAGTATCTCTCGTTGTGGACCTAACTAACAAATTTTATCTGACTATAAAAGTTCGTCGTCGACGGCATTTGGACGACGGATAGCACTGCTGCTGAAGAGGACGACGGAAGCGGGAATATCAATAACGTTCTCTACCCCGGTCAACTCAAACAAGCATCAAATTCTCCACAAACCAACGGTACCACAATGGCGACTGTTACTCCAGAAGTGACCGAAGCGGCAATAGCGGCCGGTATTCACAAGGATACCGAGAAAAAGGCCAATGAGGCAACCATCTCATCCGCCGCCCCTGAATCGACAACTGCAGAGCTTGCCAAGGCTGTTCCCCTTGAACAGCGATCCAACGTGCCCGGTACTTTCCCAGAGACTCCTGGACAAGAAGCAGAAACATTTTCCGTCAACCCTATCCCGGCTTCGGGTACCAGCGGCAATCCAATCAGTCTGAAACCTGGTGAGAAGGTACCCGACCCCAGCACTTACACCCGCAACACCGTCCAGTCTACTGCTCGGACAGATCCTGCCGGCTACGCGCAGGATCCCAGTGCTGCTACTCTTCGCGAGGGCCTGCCAGCGTCCCAGTCGACGGGAGCCAGTGACCTCGCAATGCCTCCTGTTTACGGCAACATGATCCCTGAATCAAGCCTCCCCATGGGTGAGCCCAGTCAGGGATTCAGCGATCCTGGTGTTACCATCCAGTCTGCAGCACCCACCTCCACAACCGCCGCTCTTGCTGCTTCTGTCCCACTCGAGTCTCAGAGGCCCCACGGGACCGCTGAGGATGTAGCCGATGAGGTTCCGAAAGTCGTGAGGGAATCGATCGCCGAGTCCCACAGAGATCCCGAGGCCGCTGCAAACAAGGAGGCTGTCGAAGAGAAGAAAGAAATGGAGAATGAACTCCAAAAACGAGTCACCAAGGAAGAGTCTAGTGGTACACCTGCTCCGAGCACCACTGCTGGTATTGGTTCAACTCAAACGGGCGGCGGAGCACCTGCCGATGAAGTGCCTGAACCAGTGAAGCACTCCATTGCCGAAGCCCACAAGGACCCCGAGGCCGCTGCTAATCCAGAGGCCGTCGAGGAGAAGAAGGAGATGGAGGATGAGCTGCAGAAGACAGTCCCCAAGGAAGAGCATGCCGGTGCGCCTGCTCCCACTGCCACTGCCGCCACCACTGAGACCGCTCCTCGAGCCACAGGAGTCGAGCGTGAATCGCAGCCAATGTCTCCCGGTGCCGACACCCCTCAAGGTCCTACTGTCACCACCGGTGTTGCTTCAGCGAAGGCCCCGGAAGTTTCTGGTCCTGGAGCTGCTCCTGGGGCTGGTGCCAGAACCGGTCAAAGTGAGGGCTCCACAACAGTCATGCCTAGCTCAATTCCCGATAAAGCTGCCGCTCCTTCTGAGCGCCAAACCGAAGGAACCTCGGCCCCTTCACAACCTACGACGGCTCCCGCCACCAGCGCTCCTCAGGCACAGACAGCAGGCGCCACTAACGGTCCGTCCAAGCCAACTGGCCAACGCAACGGCACGAGGAATGGGATGAAGGAGGAGAAGAAGAAAAAGAAGAGCTTCTGGTCCCGGCTCAAGGAGAAGCTCAAGTAGACGCACACAGGCCCTGTTGTTGGGCAAGAATGATGGATGATACCAAATGGGCGGGTTGATTTCTCTGGATACCTCTATTGCTTACTTTGTTCATGACGACTTCGTATACCTCTTGCTTGTTTGTCTCGTTCCAAATGGTAATGGTCGATAATACAATGAGCTGCAGATGATTTCTCACTTGCGTTGCAAAGCTCCAATAATATTGCCATTGTCATGACATGGATGATAACGAGGTATTGTAAATGAAGCTAGATTATGCCGCTAGTAAGGAGTAGAGCGACGTCAGCTGAATTACGGCAAAACTGGTCTCTTCTGAGAGCCCAATAACATGATACATTTGTCTTTCATTCCCCTGTACTTATTATATAGTGCTACATCATCACCACCATTCTCGATGATAAATTAAGCTATCTGACCTACTAGTATATTTCAGAAACAGATAGTGAATATACACCTAATATACGCCGACATCATCTTGAACGAGTCAAAACTATATTGGTATCGCATCAGAAACAATCCCATTCAACTTGACCGGATACCCCAACATGCTATGAACAGTCAACCAACAATCCCTTGAGCAGCAGCTTGCAGTCCAGCAGAGTACTTACTCCTTCCCGGTCTTCGTGAAGCAACAACCGCAAAAGAGAGACGCCGGGTAGCAAACAACCTGCGCATGTCAGTCCATGCTTTAATCCTCTTACCACGAAGTACAGCAATTTCATACAGCAGCCACAATAGTCGTGAAGAATCCTATCGAAACGCTCGTGAGAGACATCCCTTTACTCCTTGAAAGGATCCCATACCTAATGTTGGCCCGACGAATTTGCACCGGCAGGGATTCTGGTCCGTGCCGCATTGGAAGCAGAGGGGGATGATGGGGATGAAGGGGCCGGACATGTTGATTATTGAGTATAGAATAGGATGGACCCTGGTGTGAATAATGGATGAATACGGCTTGAAGTAGTTCGATACAACTAGTCAAGCGAAACTACTGACATTTGATACTTCGTATGGATGCCTTACTTCCTTACATACCTTATGAGCGAGAAGTTGGTATTGCGCGGATGATTCATGATGACGACAGAGACACAGAGTGCAGAAGGATACCGCTGGGAATGCAGTCTGAGAAAAATGTACAGTATGTGCCTCTCTAGGTAGTTGAATCTGGAGTTATTGGGATCCTTCTGGTATCTAGCCTTGAAATTATCGCATCAGGGCGTTTTCGACTTGATAGATATGTACTGTGTATAGTTTCCAACTCGGATATCAGGCGCAGCCGTTGAGTTGCACTTCCAGCCACAGTAGCCACTTGACGATCTAATTCTGACATATCATACCAATCAAAAGAGATTTACCCCTGCAGAAGAATATTTTTTAACAGCCAATAGGCAACATGAATGATTGCGCCTAGCCTCCGAAAGTCGCATACTGACCAGAAAGGGGCATTTTTTCGCAAAGAGATATCTAGGCACCAGAATTCCTATGCGGCGCCCCGCCCACCAAAAAGCCTTGGCGATCAGATTGATGGTTCGCCCATACACCATAACACAATCTGCCCTCTTTTTCACCCTTCACATTTAAATCTGGGTATTGCCTCAAGGCTTCATTCTGTCTCATTTAGTCCTTTAAGGACCACTCTCGACATCGAATTTCTCACTCAAAGCCACAGGTTAGTTTCTACGTCTCATGTTCAAGTCATTCAGCCACCGCACCTGATCGACGTCATCCTCTCCACTCAGCTCAGCCCTACGACTTACCTGAAGAAAATACTAATAAAGGCACAGATTTCTCCAGAAATCTAGCATCTCTCTACTATTGATTTTGAATAACTTACAGTTCTTCTAATTGCTTTGGTTGGGCAAATAAAGAGCAAAATGCAGTCACTCATTCCTCTCATCATCCTTCTCGTCGCCGTCGTCATTTTCTCAGTTATTGGGTACATTGCGTACAGCATTGCCCAAGAAGTCGGCAAGAATACTCGCTCGAAAATGGAGAAGAAACACGTTATGCTCACGAGGGATGGGGTGAAAGTTGGAGTGAAGGAGCTGAGTGAGGAGGACTATGTAGATCGGAGCCAGAGGTGAGTTGTTTTTCCCTCATACAGACTACCCCGAGCGCTGCATAGTGTCGGCAGAAGGTAGTCAAGATTCTGAGATGATTGTGGCTGACTGTGATATGTGATAGTATTTTGGTCAACATTTGGAATCACACCTCGTTTCCGGCGTATAAAAGCCGTCTTTGGAATATGACGGGCTCGACGGCGGAGACAGAGACGGAGAAGAGGAAACCGTGAGTTTGGTCTATACGTTGTTGTGCGCGGCCTGTTCAGGACTAATTGATATTTGCAACAGGTACTCGAAATCGTGAAATTAAGAGGTTAGGGTGTATTCTTGTCGATGTCCTTTCCCAAGGTGGAAGATTATCCTTCCTGATGTTGTTTGGCCTATTAATAGGGCGGCATGCTTGCTTTCCTACTTTATTGGCATGAATTCTGTCTCTATCAGTCATACTTCGCCAAAGGCTTGCTACTGTTTTTCGCGATGTACACATCTTCAGACTATGTTTCGTCCGACATGGGAACGATTTTACGGCCTCGATCTGTCCGAACTGAATGTATCAGACGGCTTCACGTTTTGCTCCGTATTACTGCAGACGGGACTGATGTTGCAGCTTCGTGATAACTCTCTGAACGTCGTTTTGAACTCGTATGCAAACTCTGTGGCTGCAGTACCTATAATAGGTTTAGGATGCGCCGAGTCCGTCTACAACGCCATAAACGCTTAATTTCGGCATTTAAATGGCTGGAATGTCGAGCTCATAGGAACTCGTAGTTTACTCGTAGCCAAAGTATCCAGAGCCTTAAGTCACATTACAGTGTGCGAGGACCCCTACTACAAGGTACATGTGCTTGTCTGCCGTTGGTTGCCTAGTTATTAGTCGCTTTGCAAGGCTCATTCGCAAGTATAGTACCGTGTCTGCAGGATCGAGTCTTCATCATAACACTGAAATTCCGAGTTCTACCGAGATCGCTTGTGGAAGGTATTCGCCAGATCCGAAAAGAACATCTCATCTCAGTAGACTGTCGAATACTTTGTAATCAAGCAGATAAGTCCACTTGAAATAGTTTATCTTCGTAGACCATAGACATACTATGTCTACTCGGGGTCGTGTGAGAAGATGCCATTTCAGGCACAGAACGGTGGTCAGAAGCCAACAGCACAGTTGTTAGCTGCCGAGAGACTGGTCAAGTCTGGGTCATATGAAGCATTCAATATGTAATCCGGCCGATATCTGTTTTTGCAAGATAGAACTTCGAGGAGGTAATAAAGACATATTGTATATATCTGGTGGTTAAGAGCTGAGATGGGATTGAGAGGAGCCATGTAAATTCAAATGATCTAACCGTATTAGAGGAAGGTGGGTTATTAGCAGAACCGTAACCCCAATCAGACAGCATTTGTAGATAAGAATGACTCCTGACTGGCCCTGCTAAGCCACGCTAATTCTAATACAGAAAAGTGGTTTATCACAAGCTATCTCAAGCTTTCAGGAACCCCCCGCAGAAGAGTGGATCCGGCTGACCATTGAGGCGTCGCCTCCCGCATCTTTGGACGAATCACACGCCCACGTGCCAAGGAAACCCCTCTTACGCCTGCAGCTGACCGCCAGAGCTGGCAGCACGTTGTTGGTCATGTTGTGTCAATAGGCTCGTGCTCGTACTGCGTGGTCGGTTGGAGTGCTGATAAGCAAGTCTTCTCGGGACTTTCCACGGCAAAACCGTCGTGTTCAGATCACATCATTCCCCTCTTTTCTTGTCGCTTAGACTTTAGAGGACATGGTATTGTCTTAGTTCACTTGCTTTGACCTACCGGGTGATGAGGGTTGAAATTAACTCCACTAAGAGTGGTCAAGAATCTTGATTCCGCCTTCTCAGAGGTCCAGAGATTGTGCTTGTGATTCTTTGATTCGTTCAGGATTTTTCACGTCAGAAACTTGCTCATTCGCAATAGATTTAAGAGAGTTGGGGCCGGCATTCTGTTGAGTAACTTGCGATGAGCTCGTGGATATTCGATCTACTTAAAATTCAAGCCGTCACCTCGGTTTGAGTGAATATTCGTGTCGACTGCAACATCAATTCTAAATCGTTCGTCTTCTAGCAGCCTCCAAAAGAGAGAATCGACGGGACATGTCTCTCAGTTCCATTAAAGGATTACTCTCCAACTACTCGCCAGTCAGCGAGTCGTCGGACCTGGAGAAGGAATATCATTACCCACTTCGAAATGGATCCGAAGATCTGGAATCTGCGAGCGGGAGTGAAGCAAACAAGCCAATTCGAAGAGAAGGCTCAGAGAAGAAAGAGTCTAAAATCATTGATGGGCGGACAGTCTCAGATGCCATTATCGGTCTATCGGATGGCTTAACGGTTCCTTTTGCTCTCACTGCGGGATTGTCTGCTCTGGGAGATACGAAAGTGGTTGTCTTTGGTGGTCTTGCAGAGCTCATTGCTGGAGCTATCTCTATGGGACTGGGTGGATATTTAGGCGCAAAGAGCGAAGAGTGAGTGCTGAAGTGTCTATGCAGATTCCTCCAGACGCCTGGCTGATATTTCGCTTCCAGGGAATCTTACCGAGCTACCCTCAAAGAGACTCGAAGCCAAGTTGTTGCAGACCCATCCGCTACAACAGAGACTATCTCCGAAATCTTCGCGCCCTACGACCTCCCATCTGAACTCGTCTCACAAATCACCGATCACCTGTCTGCTTCTCCCATGCTCCCTTCGTTTCTTATGAACTTCCACCACACGCTTCCTGAACCGTCCGGCTCCCGTGCACTCATCTGCGCCTTGACCATTGCGTTAGGCTACTTCATTGGGGGTTTCGTGCCGCTCCTTCCTTACTTCTTCGTCGGGCCGCACGACGCATTCATTGCGTTGCGCTGGTCCATTGCCACTATGGCTATAGCACTGTTTCTCTTCGGATACGGGAAGACATGCTTCGTGAGCGGTTGGCAGGGCAGACAGAATATCCGACGAGGGTTCGTCGGCGGCATGCAAATGGTCCTTGTGGGGGGTGTCGCAGCCGGGTCAGCAATGGGACTAGTCAAGGGGTTCCAACTGCTCGCCTCCTCCGGCGAGGGCCATGGCGAGCAATAAGGCTCCCCCTTCTTCTGTTTTAATTCGTTTCAGGCGTTTGGTTGGGCGGTAGAATAAATTCGGTTCCGGTTGTAAATATTCATTTACGGCGTCTGGTCGGCCTCATGATCCAGAATGTACAGTGCACGAAACCAAGCCAGGCTGTGCTTCACCTAGCATATCCAGCAGACGCCTTGTTGCGCGCAGATCAGATCAAATGTCTCCGGCAATCTTCTTGGCAATGGACATATAACTCCTTACAGCCCACTGCAAGACCCCTGAGTTATCCTACTTCTGATGGCGCAGTGCTGAATGTTCCATATTAACGGTTACAGCCAGCATGCCAGGCTGCGACATTCCAGAAACCCTAGAAGGCTTCCAAGTCTGTTCTCTACATTCCGCGCATATGCTAGATGACATCATGCCATGTCGAACTATTATCATCAAGGGGCTGGTCTCAGGAGGCGGTGATTATGGCAGTGCGCATAGGCATTGAAGCTAAAGTGTGAAATCCCACGGGAATACTCCGTAGATATTCTAACATTTATGCAAGGCGTGTAGTATACATGATTTGCTGATCAAGGTCAGGTATCACGAGGTGTTCTTGGACAACACCAGTAGACAAAATCCAACACCCATATGCTCGTTTAAAATGAACAATATAACGTGTCTGTGAGTAATACACCCCTTCTAAGCGAGGGACAAGTATCTAGTAATTTGGCATGATAGACCCCGTCTGAAATCCCCAGAATGCAAGGTTGCGCTTACTCCGTGTTTTACCGTCCACTAGCTATTCGAACATGTGGCTATTGAAATGTGATCGTGATTGGGAGACTTGATACAATCAGATGATCGTACATTTAAGCCGTCAGCCAAGTGATGTTGCGATGACCGTCTCTTCTAGGCGTAATAATTGGTTCGCAGGTCATTCTTCAACATGATGCATGATGATGTAGTCAGGAAGTGGAAGAAAGGTGCGCCAATGTATCAGTACATAAATTCACTGCATGTTGAGTAATATTGTTTCAGGCCACCTCTAAACTAAAACACACTTATTCAGTTCATTCCATCCATACCTTGTTCTCCGCATGGTTAATTTTGATTATGGAGTATGAGTACTCATCTAAGTGATGATTTTGTGGCTGTACCTGACTTCCTGGTAATTCCTTGATTCGGCCCAGATCCGCTGGATCGTGGCTCATCATGCTGGCCCAAGCTCCTTTCATCTCGGCGAATCCACTTCGCTCCAGGCAACCGCCAGATAATCAATCACTAGTAAATGCTGAACGAGTACGAACGGAGAGGACTCCTGAATAGCTGCGCATAATGTAAATATAGATCTCCAAGGCTCAGCTCAGGAGTAATCTCATGCCTGTGTCAGTAGTACCAGGCAGACCGCACCTCAGACCTGGGTTCAAAATAGGACGACGCGGTTTTCTGAAACTATAGACTGAGACTTAATCTTATTAATGTCAATCAACATAGCGCTTGATATGAATTATTACTGAGAGCGGTATGGCAGGTACCAAGCGTCATAGACAATATTCCATAGCCATCACTCGTATGCCATTTCAAGTCGAAAGAGATCAAACAACAAGAAGGAAATGGTACATAGGACCGTTCCTAAGTGTGGAGTTTCAGACTTGGAATAAAATGAAAGGGCCTTTGTGCACATTAATATTGCATCAAACACAGCTTCGGATGTAGAACTTTTCATCACATATGCGGCTTGCCGGCTGTTCCAACTTGGCGGCTGTAAATATCTGTATGAGGTATTGTAAGCTGGTAAAATATGTAATTCTGTCAGGTACGAAACCACACGGCATTGTCGTGCGACCCTGTCTTCCCTTGTTGGGAAAGGAACTCGTGTGCCCAATCCTCAGGTACCCTCGAATATGGAGAACTAGAAATGCTGCCATCTAGAATTAGTGATCAATAGACCTGCGGATCATCACCGAGTCTGAACAATCACGACTTATCCTGTTCTCCATGGTGCGGATCGTCTCCTGCTGATATGGATAGTGCCTCTACTACGCCGTACTGTGAAAAGATGAGGCTGGTCAGGCTGACTGACTCTGGATAAGAAGCCATGAGGCAGTACTCTGCCAAATGTGGCTAAGTCCGAGGTTGATGTTGGTAAGGTATCTGTTCATGCATGACATGATCAGTCAGATAGCTATGCCGCGGCTATAGTGGAATGCACTCTACAGCAAAAACTCTTCTCGTTTCCTGATTTGGAAGATGAAATCTTTTCAGCGCTATCCCGAGTGCCTTTGTCTGGTTCCTCTCGATGTTTCCCCGATCTTTAGGAGTTGTGCCTTGGGTACGGTTGGAATATCTTACATTATTACGGAGTTACATAACCAAAGGATCTAGGGATGGTCAGCTCTTGGCGGCAAGGCGCTCGGCGATTTCTTTGGTCCGCTGCTGATGACTGTGTGACCGTTGTGGGTTAAGCGAAATTGAGCCTGAAGATCCACAGCTTCCCATTGGCACCTAGCTTTTTCATAACGATCTCAAATGCCAATCAGCCTCAAAGTCAGAGACAATGATTGGATCATCCTTACAAGCTCAGAATTGAGCGTATCGCAGGAAAACTTTAGTACCTTACCATACCGTCTTACCTAATTTCCCAATCTCCTTTTTTCTTTTTCTCTTTGGTGGTATTCTTATTTGTCGGGCTGTTGAGATTTGTCACATCCGCTTGCTGGTCGGCGACAGAAATTCCGTTTCCTCCGAGGCTTCCGCTGCATCCGACCATAAGGCATGATAATATGGATGATGTATTTGTGTCTCGCTCTCAGTGGGTAAGAGTGGTTTGGTTGATATGATATGTTCGCATTGCTTATAGATCAGGTGGCTCCTAATGTACACAATAATCCACAGCAAGCAAGCAAGATACCAATGCCAGCTCATTCTCTCAGCAGCATGTACTGAAATTTCCCGAACCGGTTAGGCTGTACCTGGAATGCTTCCATGGCGCCTGAGTGAGGATGATTGTGATGACATGGATGTTACCAAAACCTACAGTGTATTACAGATACCACTGTGTTAGCGCCGTACTCGTACCCGTCGTCGTCCGTGGCCCCATCGCCCTTCAATTACTTTGTACTTGTTCTTGGGCTTAGATGAAAGGCTGGATGGGCCGCTTCTCTGTCTCAGCAAAATCCGCACCATCTCCCCATTTCTCACGTTTTCACTTCCTACTTCTTTTAATTCTACTGCCTTGCAGTTTTCCATCTCCTCCCCCATAACAGCTTTCTCGCCCTTCCTCCGGCTCCGTGGCCAAATTGTCTTGTGCAGCGCCTCCTAGCGATTTAACCTCGTTCTCGTTGCCCTTGCCTGTCCGCCTTGCGTCAGTACGACCCTTGCAACGTGACCTTCCCCAGAGTATCCTCGTTTGGCCGCTGGAGACCGGAGCTTGCACCCTCATAAACTACCTATTCGAAATCAATTCTCCGTTCTATAGAGATTATCGGATCGAATCTCTCCGCTGTCGAAACCTTTCGTCCCTCGGTGATCCTCGCCCTTGGAGTCTCGTCACGTTGACGCCGTGTACCCCTGGCCGCCAGCTCCACGTAGGAGACCATACTTCATTCTTCCCCCGCTATAATTGCAGCATCCTCCGTCTCCCTTTCGAGCTCCTCCTGGATCATCAAGTCCGAAAGGATCAGACTCCTCGCAGCGATGAATACCACCCTTCCATCCTGGAAAGATCGGACGCAAAACCAGTTCGGCAAGCTCCAGATCCAAGTCCCATGGCGCTCCATACAACTTCTCGTGCCGCACCGTATGCGACGGAAGATTCGGTCCAAGCTGCGCAGTCGGATCTCGCCTACCTCTTCGATATCCTCGTTGCAGACATCGTTCTCGCCGGTAGATACACTCAGATCGCTGCAAAGTCATCGATGGACGCTCTATGACTTTCAGTATCTTTTGCTGCTGATTGTCGGCATATTCTCCCTGAGCGTTATGGAATCACCTGGACCATTGGCAAAGACCGCCGCGTTTACGCTACTCCTCATCTCTCTCCTCCTCCCGATTACGCGCCAATTCTTCTTGCCATTTCTTCCGATTGCGGGATGGCTTATATTTTTCTACGCTTGCCAGTAAGTTCACCCTCTCTCGAGCAAGTACAATATGTGATGAGTGCTCATGTCTGTCTGAAAGGTTCATCCCAAGCGACTGGCGCCCCGCAATCTGGGTTCGCGTGCTGCCGGCTCTGGAAAACATTCTTTACGGTGCCAACATCAGTAACATCCTTTCCGCTCACCAAAATGTGGCGCTTGACGTTTTGGCGTGGCTTCCTTATGGAATCTGCCATTATGGCGCGCCCTTTGTGTGCTCAGCGATCATGTTCATCTTCGGTCCTCCCGGCACCGTCCCCCTTTTCGCTCGAACTTTCGGATACATCAGCATGGCTGCAGTCACCATTCAGCTGTTTTTCCCCTGCTCTCCTCCGTGGTACGAAAATCTGTATGGCTTGGCTCCGGCTGATTACTCCATGCCGGGTAATCCTGCGGGCCTTGCTCGTATCGATGAGCTCTTTGGGATAGACTTGTACACCTCGGGCTTCAGACAATCTCCCGTCGTTTTCGGCGCATTCCCTTCCCTACATGCCGCCGATTCGACTCTTGCAGCTCTGTTCATGAGCCAAGTGTTTCCACGGCTGAAGCCCTTGTTCGTCATCTATACTCTCTGGATGTGGTGGGCTACAATGTATCTCTCGCACCACTACGCTGTTGATCTGGTCGGTGGTGGCCTATTGGCAACTGTCGCGTTCTACTTTGCCAAAACGCGGTTCATGCCTCGCGTCCAGAATGATAAGATGTTCCGCTGGGACTACGATTATGTTGAGTACGGCGATTCCGCACCCGACTATGGGTACGGTCCAGCCAGCTTCGAAGGAGAGTTCAACCTCGATAGCGATGAGTGGACCGTTGGTTCTTCGTCATCTATCTCGTCCGGCTCCCTCAGCCCAGTTGACGACCACTACTCTTGGGAGGGCGAGACTCTTGCCTCTCCTGCCACCGACATCGAGTCTGGAAGGCATTTCTGATCCTGCTCAACCAGCCTTGGCACGTACTCCACTGTGTACGTGTTATTGCATTGACTAACGAGACGGCGTTTTCAAACAAATTTTAACGACATGCTTGGTTTATCGCATTGAGCTGATTTCGACACATATATATCTTTAATACGGTTTTGGGGCACTCCAGGATTAATGACGGTTGCTTCATTCCATAATGGGGATGGATTGGCCTGGTTGTGCCCAATTTTCTTCTGCCTGGCTTTCGATTGTACATGCATTTTTCACGAAACCAGCCGGCCCGCCATGATCGTGACCTCAATTTTGAGCTCGAATCTTCCTGGAGGCTCCAACGATAATTCTTAATGCTCGTTCCGAGGGTGCCACATCAGACATTCGCTTGTACAACTTTTGCAGAACGAACATTTTCACCGATTCCAACTCAAGTCATTCGCTACTACTTTCAACTGGTCGAGACACCTTGCTTCTTTTCTTCAGCTCGGCCAGGTGCATAAATACTTTCCATTCGTGTCGATCGCTCACATTTTACGGCGCCTGGAATTTTGGGGTTTTGATTTCATTGGGAAGGATAAACAACATGGGCTGGGCGCCTTTTGCACGCACTACACTCGCTTAGAAGGGTTCTGATGCTTTTAATGATTCTTGCATTGGCATATAGAAAGGGGTCCTCCAGATTTTATTACTGTGGTCCTTTCTCAACCCCACACTCGCTTGCTTTTGACAGTAGGCACCCCACGGAGCTACGTCTCCGTCGATTATTTGGCATCAACCTGAATCCGGGGAGCTCAGGGGGACTGAGCTTGCTCACGGTGACTGTTTGGGTAGAAGGTGTTCATACAGAACATCTATATCCTCCTGTACCGTCTCGATTCTCAGGCTGCTGGATGCAACACACCTCGCTGCACATTTTCGACTTCCTAATACAACCTAATTATTCTCGGTTTTCTTCGCTCTGGGTCGCCGCAGCCATTTATTATGGCGTTTCGGCTGGAGTCTGAAGGGAGCTTCATCGCCTTTCTGGCTTCCACAACCTTCCTAGCCCTTCTTTCCTGTGCACGGCGAGGTGTTGTTGGATGATTAGTCCATAGCATTATCATTATTTTTAATCCGGTAGCGTTATGATTTATGAAGAACAGTGATGTACATTATTATGCGGTGATCATCTTTTCTGGTGTATACAATTTTAACCTAATCTGCCGAGAGGTATCGTGACAAGCCAGTCATAGAACACACTAGTCTGATTTGTAGTCACAGTCTTATGTACGACCTGAGCACAGGTCTCCTGTGAAAGTAATTTGATATCTTTATTGGTATATGTACAGCTAGACCGGCAAAGTACAAGTATGGAGTATGTCGCAAGCCACCAATAGCAGAGAGCGAGTATTATAGTGATATTAAGGTTTTAAAGGGGACGAGTCATCATTCTTCTTCGTAAATCTTGACGCGATCGGCGTATTCCTTGATTCTGGAGACAAAGGTTTCCTCGATAAGGTCTCCTTGTCCTCCTGCCACGCGGAGGATAAGCTCGTTCAGCGAGGCGCGCCCTAGGATATCGACGTGATCACCTGATCCATCATCAGTCAGTAACTCACGGAATCGTTGGTTGAATGGGGCGGAAGAGAGAGGTACCTGTATTCGGACCACCGCGGGGTGAGAATCGGTCTGGCTCATGCGGCATCTCGAAGACCTTGATTTTCACGCCCGCGGGGTTATACCGTTTGATGTGCCATCCCTTGGCACACATGTATCCTGTGCTGAGCAGGTTAACCGTGCCATCGCCCTCACCCATGAGGACGCCGCGATCTACGCCGTCTGGCGTGGTCACGGTGGTGTCGATGCTGACGTTGAGGTTGACGAGGGGATCGCGTTCTTCTTGGTAGAAGTAGCTGCGCTCCGTCGGCTTGCCCACACCGTAGAAGCAGTAGATCTTCATGTCCGGGGCGAGGGGCAGCCGTGTCTCGAGTGGGTTGAGCCATGTGCGCGGATCGTTCTGGTTCGCCTCGACTTCCTTGGTTGTATGCGCGACGCCGTGCGAATAGCTGTTCAGCACCTGGTTGCGGTACCAATTCTCACTTTGATCGAGCAGGTAAGTCAGGCTTTCCGCCGTGGTGAGGTTTTTACGGGTCCAGGAGGAGTTGGTTTCGCGGAAGTTGAGGAGGTTGCCGAAGGTCATGACTTGGCCAGGTTGGTCGTCTGGTGCCCAGGTAGAATTGCCCCAGACTGCTTCGCCGCCCTTGGGGAGCATGCTGGATATACCCGGCATGGCGCGGAAGATCTCCGCACGCTCTTCCTTGGACAGGAACTTTTCCAGGCCGTACACAGCAAAGGCGTTAAGCTGAGCGGTGTCGCGCATCTCGCCCGACAAGACTGCCGTCAGCCCCTTGACAGCGCCTAACATGCACCCGCTAATGTTAATCCAGTTGGCGACGTGCTTGTTGACCCAGTCGCGGCCTCCCTTGCCGTGATCTGGATGTTCGACCCATTTGAAGAAGTAGAGCACCACCTGCGACCCCATACTGTGCGAAGCTAGGGTCACCTTCTCCCCTTTGACCAGCACCGCCGTCTCGATGTACGACTTGAGACGACTGAAGTACTGGTCGCGGACTTCCAGGTTTAAATAGGATAGCCGCCAATCATATGCAGCCGTAAAGGCATTGGTTGGGTCGTATCCAATTGTCGCCAGATTCTCAAGGACCTTGTTCCAGATCCAGTAGCCCGTGATAAAGAAATCGGTCGCATCGAACCCCTGGGCTGCGCGTAGCTTGATACCCGGAGGATCCAATCCGGTCTCTCTGTCCAGCATGATGTGATTCTTCCATTCTGCCTTGTCCATGACCAGCGCACGCATCATGCTCCAACTGCCCCAGAGTCTCCGACGAAAGTACTGACGAGAGGCCGGGCCTGTACCCCAACTCTCCAAGCCGGTCGAGATGACACCGGGGATCATAACGATTGGATGTTTGGCCTCGATACCTTGCGCCCGAAGCTGGAGACCGATGGAAAAGGGATCATAGCTGACTGCGTCGCGCTCATGTTGCTGTACAAATGCCAAGGGAAGCCGATTAGTATGGAGGCATAACAACTGGAAATGGTATCAAGGTTCCAACGTACCGTGAACTCTCGCGCGTCCCTTACAATGCCTTGAGGAATCACATCTATCAATGCGTCCAGGTTCAGATCCATCAATGATTCGAGACTAATCACATCCTGCTGGTTGGCGAAGAACAAGGCAACAAAGATGCCGAAAATGCCTCCGAGCGCGAAGATGAGTCCATTGCGCCGTTTGCTCTTCGGTCGGGAGAAGAACGATTGCGGCTTTTCTTGAATAACAACTGTCTTAGTATCTGGCGATGGCTTTCCTTTGTCGTCGCGAGACTTGTCCGTAGTCTGCTGGACGTCGTCGTCCTTTGCCAGACGACGGCGGAGCATGTGGGCGACCGCCAGGAAGGGTCTTAGTCAAACAAAATGCTGCAATTGATGTAGGGCCTAGCTCAGACTCAGAGGGTTATTTGAAGACAGTAACTCCTGGGCCCCAGAGAATCGAAATGAAAGAAAAGTAGTTAAAAAGAATTGAAAGTTAAAAACTAGAAAAAAAAAGGTACACAGCAGCGACAGGCGTCGGAATCACATGGGAAGCAGGAACCCGGACGTCATGCTCAAATTCCTCTAAGAAGTCGTCTTCTCAGACCACCAACCTCAATCATTCGACACAGCGCAATCACAAGCTGCTCACATCCGTCCTTTTTACCGGCTCCTCCAACGGTCTACTGAAAACAAGCTCCACACTCAAGTCCTTCTCCCACCAAAACTCCCCACCTCCTCCCCTCGATGACTCCGTAATGAGCCAGGATGTCTCTTCTTCACCCGCAGAGCCCACAGCTGCTGCTGCTGCTGCTCCTTCAGACCTCCGCTACGTGCGCTACGATGGCTCCCGCGAAAACGAATACGTCTCCGCAATGAGACAGCTTATTTCCAAAGATCTCTCGGAACCGTACAGCATCTACGTCTACCGCTACTTCCTCTATCAATGGGGGGACCTGTGCTTCATGGCCATGGACGATACAAAGGAGAAAGACTTCATGGTAGGCGTGGTAGTTTCGAAGCTCGAACCGCACCGCGGCGGTCCGCTGAGAGGGTATATTGCCATGCTGGCTGTGCGGGAGGAGTACCGCGGGAGAGGAATAGCGACCAAGTTGGTGCGGATGGCAATTGATGCGATGATAGAGCGGGATGCCGATGAGGTAGGTTCACCTGCGAGCAGAGCTTGCAGCGGGGCAATCTGGAAGAAAATTGACTGACGGCGTTCTGTCCTGTACAGATTGTCCTGGAGACGGAGATCACAAACACTGCTGCCATCAAGCTGTATGAGCGCCTGGGCTTTTTGAGGAGTAAACGTCTGCATCGGTATTACCTGAATGGCAATTCTGCATACCGGCTGGTGTTGTACCTTAAAGAGGGGGTAGGCTCCATCCGAACGAGCATGGATCCGTACGGAGCTCCAATCCCTCCTCCTGCCCCGGCTCTGCTGCATGAAAACGGTCGTGGGTGAGTCATGCCAGCGGAACTGATGGCAACGCTTGTCCTAACGTATTGATGCATTTACGACACATTGGATGATATAGATGATTATGCCTTACCAAATTGAACATGCAAAGCCACAGCTGAAAGTGCTATTTTGCTAGAGCCAACCTCTGGCTGACTTGAATGGCTCTCAGCGATCTGTGATCCTCTCGGACTGTATTCGATTCATATCTCTATACACCCTATATACATTCATGAAGTCGGGGGTGGAGGGGTGATATCTATTCACATGTAATATACAAAAGAGATAGCTGAAGGCTGATAAAACCCAACCAATATCCAACCACGCACCTTATACCCATGACTATGCCAATTATCAGCAGTATGCAAGAATCCGCTCAACATGATATAGACTTGGTGGCTCCGTAGCCACCGAATAAAATATACAACGTGCAGGCTCAAATGATGTGAAAAATATGCCATAAAAAGGCGGACTCCGGTGTGAAATGCGAACGAAACGTCAGGGCAATAGTGGACAAAAATGCATTATGTAGGGTTGGCGAAGAGATCCCCCTTGCGGACAGGTATGTGGATGGAATTCTGCATCACCCATTGCGTTGGTCTGGGAATGCCCTTCCATCCACGATCCATCACAGCGGCGGCCTCCAGCATGATGGAAAACGGCACAGATGCCTGGTATCGAGGTCCAATCTCGATATCACGCTTCACAAGCGCTGAAGCAAGGCCGAGTTGCTTCGCGCGCTCTTCCCCGCCTGGCTTATAACCGGACGCAAGATAAGCCACCGGGTTGTCGAGATGTTCGTCTGGCACATTGTCCAGAATGGCATCGTCGAAGGGATACACGGACTGATCAAAATCAACACCAACAATGACGTTGCCGGCACTAGTGCTCCAAACAGTATCGATCACGTCTCTTTTATTCCGGGGCACATTCCGTGCAAGCGAGGTCAGAACGGACTGCTTCATCTTGTACGTCACCCGTCTGTGCATGCAAGCATAGCGCCATAGCACGCGACAGATGTTGTAATTTCGGCCTTTGAAAGCAATTAGAAAAAGCAGCTCCCATGCTTTTTTGTCCAACTGCGTCTCGGGGTGATCTAGACAACGAAACATGTACCGAAGAGCGCACTGGATATCAGAGCGAAACAAGGGCAGGATTGAGTTGACTGTGGCGCTGTCGAGCGCAAAGCCTTGCTGCTCGCATATTTCAAGTAATCGGTCCATTGCGTCGTAGTCTCTCAATCGCACGGTGACACTTAACATCTGATTGATCAGAGTCGGGGAAAACCAGTTGGCCCCATATGTATCAATAATCATATTAAAGAAAGCGTCGACAGTTTTGCCGCTTTGTAAATGCGCCAAGAATGTATCTTGTATCGTTAAATGCAATGCGGTCCGCATCGCACCGGAGTCCGACAAGTAGCCCTTCTGCAGCATAAAATTGACAAGACTTGCTTTCGCATTAGGAGAGACGAGACAATCAAGGAAAGCGAGCCAGGTGTAGGGGTTCGGTCGAATGTGCATTCGCGACATGGAGGCGAGGAAACCACGAAAGACCTGGATGTCCTGTCTCTTGGCCGCGGATTTCAGAAGCATATTAAACGTATCAACTGTCGCGACATGTTCGGCCCTGATGAAAACCGCGCGAGCATCGTCCAAGATTTCATTGTCGAACAGATATGAAAGTGCTCTATTCAATGCTGCAGTCGAAAAATACTCGCGGTTTGCGTCATTTTGGAAAAGAGCGACAAGCGCAGCAGCCACTCGCTCACGGTGATGAGTACCCGGTTTCCCTCTAATGACTCTTGAGGACGGCCGAGACCTGGTCAGTTCCTCTACATGTTCGGCGAACTCCCGGACATTCGATATTCTGGCAGACGAGTTGAAAAGTGTGTCCAGTGGCGCAGGTTGCTTGAACGCCTGGTAAAAGTCCCAGACACCTCGGACAAGTGGAACCGGAAGATTCTTGCGTCGCATCGCTTCGATAGAGGGGTAAACCGGGACTGGGGGCTTCCTTATGTCGACTAGAGGATCACCCTGTTCCTGTAACGTGCGTGTCCGCATGATGTGATCACCGACCAATTCCACACTCCGCTTCGAACCTGACAAAACGACCTTCCTATGCTGCCCTTCGCTCTCTAGAGGATGCAACACATGAACACGGCACCCATTGCGAACTGGTACATACCAGATATTCTCCTTCATCGCCATGTCCGTGATGCCCGCCATGAGCGCTACTGTTTCCTCCGGTATAAGGAGCTCCTTCTGCACCGGCCCCTTCTTGGGCCACAGCCGAGACTCCTGTTGCATCTCTTCCAAAAAGTCTCCCACTGCGGTCCACCGACCCCATTTATCTCGTGACCCACGGTCCCTGCCTGTCTGCGAAAGATAAAGCCTATATCTCAATTTTTTTCGATCCCTAATCGACAAGCTTTCCATGACTCCGATCGCTTTGTCCTTGGCCGGGAAGTTCGTCATTGACGTTTGCGTGTTCGTGAAGATGTTGAATGGCCTCCGGTCCTCTCTTGTAGCATTCGGCGACTGTTCACCCGGTGTTTCCGACGCATGCAGCGATGTTGACGACTCGTGATCCGCACGGGGGCCCGTTTCGCTCGGTACAGTGTCATGGCTCCCCCTTTTATCGCTGGTGCTTTCTATTCCCCGTGATTGTGTAGGTCCTACACTCCGTGTAGGTTCAACATTCTTACGCCCGGGCAGTGAGCCAGCTGGCTGGGCAATCCCGGTCTCGACAGCGGAGTGAGTGGATATCCATCGCCGTGAGAGAATGCCGAAAGACGATTTCCGGCGACGAGACGACCCTCGGAGAACGGGACGAACTGAGCGCAGCGGATCCTTTCCGGAGGGAGTATAATTTATTGACGATATTGATCGTTCTCTTCGCAAGGTCGATATAAACCAGCGAGGGTAGAGAAAGAGTAAGGGTTCTTCGGGGCCAGCGGCGACGTTGTCCAAGACGGCGGATAGACCACGTCTTCTCAGACACGGATGACCGCGCGAGAACATATGGTAGGACGCAGACTGATTCCCAGAGGCATGTGAGGTTGATTCGTCAAGAGAATGTGTCTATGTCGTGTTGCATGCGCACCCTGGTAGAAACTCGACTTAAGGTCAAGCTCGGCCTGGAGTTCAGGAAAATTGTTTGCGGTGCCAGAACGGCAGGCGGTGGGGTTCGGATCGCTCAAGCTTACTCCAGGCGGAGCATCGGAAGCATTGCGGAATTAACGAATCTCAGCTAACCATCAATGATGTTGAATTGACTTATTTAGTCTTCAAACTAGAAAGGTGTCTGGGCAACAATTTTGTGCATAGCATGTTATTACGTGGCGCTTGAACTGGGGGTACTAGACGCTAAAAGCAAAAGAAGGAAAAAAAAGTATCCAACGCTCAACAAGCTCAACACAACCCTCGCTCGACATGCATCAGTTGCAGAAAGCTAGCTACCTCTCCATCGGACTTACTTCCAGGGATCAGGAAGGACGGCGTATATGACCTTCAAGGCCAATTTCCGCCGCCTCAGGGATACCCTTGATCTGTCCGCCATTGTCGATCGGTTTGAACGAGGACCTTTTGGAGCAGGTCTCTAACAGATCATGCTTTGAGGCAGGAGTCAAGTTCATCGACTCGTGGTGTTCGAAACCTAGTAACTCGGGCCCCGTGATATGCCGTCTCGCTGTCTCCGCAGCTTTCGTGAGGTTCTGTTGTTTGCGCCGCATCTCTTCGGCGTCTGCATTGTCTTTTTCGGCGGCTTCCCGCAAGAGGTCGTTGGTGACATTCTCCAAGTGGGTGAGGAACTGCCATCTCGAGTTTTGGAAGACAAACATCGACATGATTTCAGGGATCTATCAGGTAGTCAGTAGACTATTGGAGACGAGAAACGAGTGATTGGGATACCTTGTCATCCAGGTAGTGAAGCTCTTCGCCCCCATCCTCGATGAAACGCTTCAGAGCGTCTATCTTCTCACGATCAACAATGGCAGCCTTCAGGGCATACATTAGTGTAGGAATGTTTCCTATTTCTTCCAACGGAGTCTCCTCTTCCACTCCAGTGGTTGTGCGACTCAGATTCCCCGACGCCGCTATCGAACTGGTGGCTTTGCTTCGCTTTCGCGGAGAGTGAATTGTAAAATAATCCTCGTTCAACATGTGAGCCACCTCGAATCCCGATCGTCCACGATGTGTTTTGTCCACAGCGCGCTTTACGCGCAGTCTAACCCATCGTCGTCTTCGAACGAACGAATGGAACCAGGGATGAGTCCCATGCCAGGCTGTTGAGCTAAACGAGAACGAATACTGCCAGCCCTGGTCGTCGACGTCGCCGGACATATCGACGTACCATGACGGCCAAGCCCATTCCCAGCTTGGGTCTGGCACTTGGGCATTGGTGATGTTGACAGGGCTCTCGCGGAAGTCATGCGTGACCCAAGGGCCGGGATCAAAATTGAGTAGCGAGCTGTGCGAGTACAACGGAATGCCGAAAAAGAACCAGCCGCGCTGATTCTCGTAGAGGATGTCCAATTCGCTGACGGAACGAGCACCTTTGGTGTTGTTCTTTGGGTCGTAGCCCTCTTGTTGCTGAGGCACTGCGGAATCGCGCTCGCCATTCGTTGAGGACGCAAAATCTGTCGCATCGATGTCGTGCTGCTCGATCGCGGCTTGAGAAGGGCCAGCTAGAGCGCTCTCCCCAGATATGGTATTTGCATTCGTATTCATGTGAGTCAATGGATTCACCGACGGAGACGGCATTCTGCTCAAACTACTGTCGTCCGAGAGCTTCAATCGGTCCGGCTGCCATTTGGCATACTTTCGTCGCTTGAGTTCACCACGGATGGACACTCTGCTCAATCGCCTGGAGCCGGTTCGTGACCCTGTAGCCGAGGGGGTTTGAGACAGCGCCTCTTCATTGTCGGAGCGGCGTGAGGGGTCGGTATGGTCGACGAGCGTAATCCGGCGAATGCCTTCCATGGTAATGATGACTGCACGGATTACCTCGATATTATATCAGAATTTTGTTACAACAGGCCTCCAAGATTGTCTTGGCAGGGCGCTGTGACATTATCGCAACATGGTCTGGCAATCAATGTAAGACAACAGCAATGAGTGGACTTAGATGGACGCGGCATCCACTGAAGCCTTGCGACGAAAGAAAAGGGATGAGAGCATACAGCTCTTACAAGCTTGCAACCCAAACAAATAGAATAAACAGACACAGACGTAGTATCAACTCAATCCCCACAAAACCTCGCAGACAGGGCCAGAGAATCGAAGAAAGGAACAAAGAGGATAAACGCGCAACACGTTCATGAAGCTTCCAAGTCCCTCAACTAAACAGAGATATTCCAAACCAGATCGATGACATCGTTGCGGGGGCCCGTGATCGACAGGTTGCCTTAGGCAGCAAACAATTCTCCTCAAGCACTAATTAATGCCTGAGGCATCGCAGACGATAACGATAGGTACCCCGTCCGACCAGAGTAAATAATGATAGAACATCCCGCACCGCGTCCACCAGCAACAAATCAACAGAACAACCAACCAACAGCAGCAGCATAACAACAATGTCAGCCCTCACTACCGCAAAATCGAGCTCCAATCGCCCGCAGACTTCACCTACCTCTACGCCAACACCGTCGCCCTCTCCCGCCAAAAGCTCGATCTCCATCTTCCCCCCTCGGCAAACACAAGCGATGGACCGGATCCCATGCGAGAACGCGTGAAGGAATTGGTCGACCAGGTACGATCCTCTACCCCCACCTCCCCCGCGTAAAGATCAACATGTCAATTCGGCTCTAAATGATGGATTATAGTACATCAATCAAACGTTCACCACCGCCTCCGCCTCAATCAGCATCAACGGCCTCGACTCCTCCTCGTCACAGTTCCCTTTCCCCGCTGCCTTCACGCAACCAACTGAGACAATCGAGTACGAGCCCTACGATACCGAGCTCGCGGCGCGTGTGACATCGCTGTACGCCCAGCTGGAGTCACTTACCACGACAGTCGCGCAGCTGAGGCGGGATGCGCCGGCTCGTGCGGCGAAGGCGTACGCAGAGCAATTGAGGAAAGCTATCGAGGAGGATGAAGATGATATGGACGCGGACGATGATGTCGATGCTGAAGCTGGAAATGAAAATGGAAATGAAGATGGAAATGAAGATGGGGACGGCGAGGGTGAAGAAGACGTTCCTATGTCTGACGCGGATGCACGAAATACATCGACGCAGAACGGATCACGCAAGCTGCGCCGGAGACCCTCGAAATCAAAGTCTGCGCGGTGGAATTTGCAGATTCCCCTTGGGTCCGAGCATGAGGCGGAGCGCTGGCGCAATGGGGAGATGGCGGAGGTTTATGACGATGCGTTGCGGACTTTACTCCGGCTTCAGGGTGAGGCAGTCCCTGGCGAGCAAGTCGAGAGCGGGCCGGATGGGAAGGCGCTGTCATCGACGCTGGGCAAGGCAGAACGAGCGGGCCGGGCTGCGGAAGTCGTGGAGAAGATGTAAAGCTGAAGCGTTTCCTTATTTTCTGTCTTTCTTTCTTTTGGTTCTTGGCGATATCCCATGGTATAGGTTATTTGGCGTTGGAATAAAGGCTAGTGGTAAGGTGGTGATACCAATCTCATTTACAACCATCATTTCTGCATTTCTCATCAGGTTTCTCAAATGCCGGTTGGGATAGATCAAAGTAAAAGTGTACGAGAACGTGCAGTCATGTTTTGACTATCCATAGCCAAGTAACCAAATTCCACACAAAGATAAACACTTTATATTCAGTCCTGCCATGTGTTGTTATCCTTGTCCGCATCTATAAAAGCGCCACGCCACTCAGTCGGAGTTGTTGACTATCTAAGTTTGGATATTGAGAAGAGGAAAGAGATAAAAATGACCCCGGTCGGCTCTACAAGCCACTCCGCCAGGGTAACATTTGACCAGTTATTGAATTTATGCGATGTTGAAATGCGATCAGAAAGGACACGGTTGAAGGCACAAGAAGAGGGGAAGTCCCAGGGGAGGAGTGATAAGAGACGGCACTGGTGAAGGACACGCAGGTCGACACGGATGATAGCTGAATTCCTTTACCACATGAATCCAAGAATTTATGTATGCAAGGCAAACGAGAAGAGCAAAGAGAGCAAGAAGGGCGGATAGCCTACGCTACGGGCTGAGAGCCCTCTTGCGCGGCGGGATCCTTCACCACAGGACCCGAGTCCTCATTTTTCACGACATTCTGTTCCTCCTTAGGCAGAGCCCACTTGGGCGGCTTAGCCCACTCGGGCTCTTGCCAGGGACCCATATCGCTGAGCTCACAGCCGCCAGCGCACTCGCAGGTACCGCCGAATTCAACGGGGAGGTTCTCGGCAGGGATCTGCTCCAGCAATTCCTTCTTGTAACCGGACCCAAGGACGTGGATCTTCTGCACGGTGACGGGGTCGAGGAATCCCTTGACGACGTTGAACACGCTGCTGAAACCCCAGGGGGCATTGATCAGGTACAGCTTGCCCAGGCGCTCGGGGTAGTAGTTCTGCGAGATGGCGGAAGCCTGACGCACGTATCCGTACACGGAGGGGACGCTTGTGATGCCGACGCCTTTCAGGTCCATGATGCTGCAGCAGGTCTCGAGCAACTTGCCGGCCTTGCGCGAGCAGGCGGGCAGCCGGGGATCCGCGAGCTTCTCATACTCGCACACGAGGTTCTGCAACATGCGCTCGGCGGTTGTGATTTTGTACATGGCGTTGAGATCGATCTTGCCCAACTTCTCAATGTAGACAGGACGGCCATCCTATCCGATAAAAGTATCCATTAGCACATGAGTGGCAAACCACCATTTATGTACCAAAAAAAAAAAAAAGCCTACCTTGTCTGTCTTGTGGTAATATTGAGGGTAGTACTGGAAGACCTGGGGCTTCTCCTTGTAGTCAAAGGTGCGGACGAGGTCGTCGGTGCCGAATTCTTTCCGCCACTTCTCACAATCGATGAACCTGGTAAAAGCAACGAACTCACGTATTAGCCAATGGAACAATGTTCAGCGTCCACAGTAAAACGGTCAATCGGCAGACACAGGTAACCCTTGAGAACAACAAGGCGTCCGGGACGGTGAACAAACATACATGGCCTTAGCGGCAGCCACATCAAACTTCCGGGCTCTCAAGAAGCGCAGCATGGTCAGGGTATCCAGTCTGTCCGTGTATCCCAGCTGCTCCAGCTCACTACGGAGCTGCTCAACCTTTGCATCCTGCTCTGGGGAAGTGTGGCCAGGGTGGCCCGGCTGGGGTTCAGGCGCAGTGGTCGGGAAATCGTAGTCGTCATATTTCGACGTCGTGGCCGACTTGTTCTCAGCTACAGCAGCCATGGTTGCTAATATGGTATAATCGAATTTGAGAAGAATACAAGGCGAAGAACGTTATGAAGACTTGATCTGGAAAATCAAGGGTTGGTTAAGACGCTTTATTTGAGAAATTATGATCGAAAAGGGGAGGGGAGTGGGGAAGGAAGATAGATTGAGGGAGGCGGAGTGCAGAAAGTATTAGGCCGTCGACTTCTTGATTGCTTCAACGATGGCAACCTGCAGTCGAGCGAGAGGAGAATGAAGAAGATTTATGTTGTAGATAGATCAGAGCGTAACCAGAGATGGCTAGAGTTTGGAGGAGAAGGATCAAATTGAGCTGGCCGAGGAATAAGTCTCTGTCTTCCGTACGGTCGACCAGCAAGAGACGGTCAAAGAACGCGATGCTAAGGGAGGGAGGGCCTCTAAAACGCGCCCGCTAGTGTATTAAGAGGGGCAGGCGAACTTCTTGACAAGACAGAAAACTTGCAGACTACGTAGACAAACACTACGAGATCCACCCGTCTACAAAGTGTCGGTCTGCATCAAAACGAAAGACCGTATAGAGAGGTAGATACGTTATCAAAGTCTTAGGTAAGTATAATGGCTAACAGGACTATTTCCTCCCATCAATATAGTAATACCTACCGACGTTCAGCGGGATTGTGAAAAGCCACTTGGCTAGCTTAATGTCCCTCATCTATTATGATTGAGGAAACCCGGCTCATACCTGTAGAGTTCATGAATAATAGATAAAAAATATAGATACATATTTACATAGACGGTCAGAGCTCATTCACCGGCGTCTCTGTGTGACACGTTGTCCCCGTCAGAAGCAGGTCCATAGAGGGAATTTGATAGTCAAGGCCAAGCACAGATCTGATCCACCCCAAGACACAAACGACCCAGGCAATAGCACATGGTTCGTCAAGCTGGCTCACACTGGAGAGTAGGGTGGCATTCAACTACACACAAAGAAGACAAAGACGAAAACACATCAAGCCGAATAAGTTTACAGGCAGCGAAGAGACGCAGAAAAAGGCCAACACCCGGTATAAGGCAAGATGGGACAGCAGATGCAACTCATACCGCCGAAGAAGATTCAGAAACAATATAGTCGTCAAACAGTGGTGTATCAAGAAGCATTCACAAAATATCAATCATCCAACTGGTATAAACGTTGCAAGTAAAAGACAACACACGGTGATATCAGCGAAATAAAAAGCCAACCAGACAAAGTCAAGCCCAGCTATGGCGTGTTCCCGAACCAGCGGACATCCATAACCAAGACGACATATGTGCTCACCATATTACAAGGATGTTCCCGAGTACCAGCAGGATAATAGTATAAGGTATCAAAACAACAAGTCATAGGGTATCTGAAATTCGTCCCCTGCTCGAACGCCTAGCCCCATGCGAGGGACGTGCATTGAGACAGGGTACGGAGTAGAATATCGTCCATCGCCGTTTCGTAACGCGGAGCAGGTCTTCTCATGTCGAGCCCGCGCCCAAGCTGCCTTAAGCAGCGCGCCTGAGATCTCGCCCTCGCTCGTCAAATGGAGAATTGTAACACAGCATGGCCGTTAGACCGAAGGATTTAGAGTTTCGTCCGGACGTTTGCGGCCAACAATCTGCTCCATCTCGTACACATCGTAATATCAATGGTCTGGTAAGACGCTGCGCTAATCATCTTACCAGCCCTTCTTCCGTGCAAACCGCTTATTAAGAAGGGTGAGCACCTTAGAAACGTTAAATTGAACATACTCGAGATCGAGGTCTTCAAGGTTGTCCTTTTGCATCTCCAGCAAATCGTCGAGCTTGAGATCCAGTTCCAAAAGGCCACGAGCACGACCTAGATACGTAAGACATGGTCAGCCACCGCAGTAGAGTAGATCAACACCAATGGACGGCTGCAGCTGTACTTACCTTTGTAATGAAGACTGATGACAAAGGTGCCAGGGAGAGGGCTCTTGAACATGAAGTAGATGTTGGCGCGCCGATTCTCCGGTACGTTGCTCTTCCGAATGACACCCTCCTTCTCGAGTTGCTGGTGGGTGAACTTGTACGGGCCCAGCTCCTGGTGCTTTTGCTGTTTGCGCTGCTTGCCCTCCGACTGACTGCGAACGTTGTGCAGGTATGATTTGTAGGTTTCCAACTGGCCCACCAGGTACGCGTTGTGGTCGCGGATCGTTGCGAAAACTTCCTCGAGCTTCTTTGTCTCTTCAAGGACCTTCTCCTTCAAAGAGCCAAGGTGGACTAATTCCTGCTCCACCTCATCTCGCAAAAGACTGAAGTCGTCGGAACGGTCAATGACGCCCATCTCCTGTAGCTGACTCAGCAGCTCCATGGTCCGAATGCCCTTTCGCACCATCACCGCATCGTTCTTCAGAGTGGCCGCCGCCTCTGCAATTCGATCCAGCCGAAGCGGCCGCCGGGCGATCGCCGAGTTCGGAGGCAATGTTCGCAGAATCTGCACGAAAGTCGATTTCGCTTCCATGAAAAACACTTCCTCCTGGGTGATATCGAGGGCGGCCGTCAAATCATCAAGAGCAGTCTCCCATCGACTAAAAAGGGGAACGGTGATCGTTCGGTTTTCCTTTCGCGGGACCTGTGCGGGTGCAGATCCCAGTTCTTGCAAGAGCTGGTTGAGGTGAGAGTGCTGATCCTGCGCCAGAGCCAGGCTGTGCTTTTCCAGCAGAGCATGAGTAGCATACATCTCATTCAGAGTAATCTGCAACTCAAGGTCGCGCTTGGAAAGAGCTACATAGTTGTCCATTTCCAAGCTCTCGTAAAAATCTTGGACTTCACAAAGGTCCAGCAAGAATTTGTTGACACGCTCCTTGTTCTGCTGAATGAAGGGCTGGAGTTTAGCCATGTATGGCTCCTTGGCGTACGAAGGTTTGTTAGCCAAATTCTGAAGCATCTTCGCAATCAGAGTAAGGGTGCGACGAGGCTTCTCGGTCGGAACCGATTCGATCAGCATGTAGGACCTGGGGGTGACAATAGCGGGATTGATGAATCGAAGGAAGAAGAAACCGCCAATCAGGGTGCAAATGGTCTGATCCTGCGCATCCGGATACTTGCGGCGAGACAAGCTCCGAATCTGCTTGCAAATCCATCTGATACCGTAGGGAGCCTCGTCCACGGAGTTAATGATTGTCGTCAGGAACCCGTTCGCAATGTCGGTCAGCATTTTCAGCCGTGGCTCAATGATAGCCTGTACCTGTGCGTTCTCCGCAGCCACCTCGGCTGTGACAGACTTTGGCAGATGACTGGGCAACGAGCCAGTTTTCTCTTCGATCTCCTTCACCATGTTCTCGTACACCTTCAGAGGATTGATCTCCAGATCAACATCGCGCAGCTCAATCAAAGCATTAATCTGTTCCGCCAGCACTTGCTTCAAGTAACTTTGGCCAGGACCGCGACGCGTGTACGTGGTCATCATGCGAGAGACAGGTGTATTTTGTCGTAACAGTGACGAGTACTCAGGGGTGTTATCGAATTGATAAGTGAGAACAGACTGAAACATGGTCAAGAGAAGATGCTCTTCACGGCTCTCGTACTGGTTTCCGTAGATGGTGAACATGACGGTCTGGAGAAGGGAATCAATTTCCGACATGGAGACAAGTCGACACAGATGAGCGATGTGCCGGGGTTCGGATTGCAGAAGAAATAAAAGGTTTCCATATTTCTGGGTTTTCTCATCATTGGGAAAGAAACCCTCTTGGGGATCTTCGTCGTCAAGATGGTTTGCAACTTCGTTTTGCTGCGAGAGACATGAGCCACCTCTCAAAGGCATCCAGTTTACCAGGAATAATAATAACATACCTCTTCGAGCGCCATGCGGTTCTGGATGAGCAGAGCTATCCGAGAGTCCAGATATCGGACATCCTTTTCGAGAACGAAATTCTTCTTCGATTGCGAGGAGATTTTCGCTTTCAGTTCCCGTAGATATTTTTGAGCTGTTCCAGAACCGATTAGACATCTGAACCTGTATGTCTCAATCAAGCCAATTGAAGTAACTCACCCTTCGCCAGATCATCGGAAATTTCGAGATCTCTGTCTTTTGCGGACATGGAAAGGTATAGCGCGGTGACGGACAGCCGCTTGGACTGCCGAAGAGACCGTGTATCGTGGGACGACATCGTGTTCTGACGGGTGACGGGTTGGAAAGAAGAAGATGAGGATGTAGATGCTCTTGACGCCGGTTGCAACATTGTTGCTACAGACATATTGTGAAAGGAAAGCTATGGTGGTAGTTGTGCTAAATAAACTCTCACAAACAGACAATCGCACAGATACGCTTGCACTTATATCGAGGAGAGTCCAGCCACCAGGCTTGACACGTTCAGATCAAAGTAGATCACTGGGAACCGCCAGATAACTGTCGCTGGCTGGATTGTAGATGTCAAAATTCAGACGCTGACCATCTATAGTTTGAGGCGTGGACGCGCGCACGTAGCGAAGTCTGCAGACTATACGCCTTATCGCAGGTGTCGAAAAGGGACCTATCGGAGCGAGCGAAACCCGATCAATGGAGACTGCCCGACGGATTATGAATGCCGCAGACGTTTTCGACAGCTCAGTATGCTGTGTTGATATACTAGGAATAAATTGAGGGTCGACGCTTTGCACGACTTTCGAACGGAGCGTTGGAGCGCTAGCAACGGAGGGAGCGATAGTTTTTCAAGAAGGCAGGGACGGTCGCGGTGCCCGGAAAAGCAATTGAGACAGTCGGAGCTGAATTGTCTCAAGCGAAGTTAAAAAGAATGTCGAGACCGTCGGCGTAGGAGATGGTTGGGAGGGAAAAAATATGCAGAGTAAAGTAGGGAGCGCAAGGCGGATGGGAAGAAATTGGTGAGCCCAAAGCGATAGAGTATTGAGACGAAGCAGAGAAGGGGCGGCAGGACGATCAAATATTAGGTGTAATGCGAATAACTTTGCGACCGACAGAGCCCAAATTAAAAGGAGGGTACAAGTGCGTGTAGTATTAGTTGGATAGTAATGATATCAAATAATGTCGATGATGGCAAGTTTAATGGATATTAAGAATCAGGAAGCAGGAGGGGTGACGGAGGAGCGGGAAGGAAGAAAAGTGTCAAATAAAACAACGAAAGTGAAGACGACTCATTTTGGGTTTAGATATGGGAGAAGCCATAAGAAGAAAACAAGAGAACAAAGGGAAAAGCCAAAAAGGAAAAATAGAAGGGAAAAAAAAAGAAGAAAAAGAAAAAAAAAAAAAAAAGAAAAGAAAAGGAAAAGAAAAGTGGAAGGAGGGGAAGCCAAGGCACCCTCGGATGGGGATTTCTGATTTTTTGGCTCAGGGATAGTACTAACTATCCATTAATTGTCGATACGGTGGAGATAGGCATACCTTACCATGCATTAACGTACGAGACCGAGCGTCTATGCATATGCGAGGAGATATGGGCTCAGGAGGTGTTCAAATGAGTCAAAATAAATGGGTTAAATTCCTCATGACATTAAGCAATAATTAGTCGAGAAATGTCCATGGGGGGTGCGTGATGATGATGATTGTTCCTGACTCCCGACCCCCATTCATGCATGGTACCTGAGCTTGTACTCTTGTACCCTAGGTACGGGAAATTCAAGCCCATTCAATACTAATGGATAGGACCCAGCAGTTTGTCCCGTCTTTTCCTGGTACCTGGGTCTAAGCGATGAATATTCAGTATTTCCTTCTGGCAATTAAGAGTAGCAGATATAGGTTAATGGGATTTCTCATACTCCATACCAACAAAAATCACGTTACTTAATTCATAAAAAAGGTCCATGCAGGTCATGCCATTCGGCATCTAAATCGGCATTCCTCCGCAAGAAATCCTTCGAAATAGCCAGATGTTGATGTATCTATAGAGCACGAAGCGATGGTTACCTAATTTTTATGATATGCAGATACGTCTAAAGTAGTCTCATCATAATCCTACTGATATCGACAAATGCCACTGTCTTCTGTAACTACAGTAGACTTGAAATATCCAAAGTGATCGCCAGGCTTTGACGTCCAGATAATTGGCAGAGTTCGACAAACCTATCTTGTCCATTGTTTCACTCTATGCAGGGTTGATGTTCCTTGTTTCCTGCCTTCTGCCTTGGGTCCTTTGACTTCCATTTCCCCTGCCTTTCAAGGGAAACGGTTGTATCACTTGTCCTGCTTCGGGCAACAGATCAAGGAGATCTTAACAATTCTACGGTGTGTTTTAAGGCAAGTTTATCCGAATCAATGTACGGATGATCATCTCCCGCAGTCTTATTTTCTCCTTTTTCAGAGTCTGACGTTTGGAAGTTGAAGTCCACCCACTCGATGCAGGACGACGCAAGGGGAATGTCTCCATTGACCGAAGGCTGGAGCCACCTGCCGCACGCACCTGAAATGTCGGTTAGGCAGATGCTGGAGACTGGAGACAGTCCTCGAGCTGGAGTATCTAGGTATCCAGCCTGTGCGTTTCCAGCGAATAACGATGGAGAAGATAACTAGTTCTAACTTTCTTTCCCCTTTTGTGCTGGCGAGGATGGAGTTTATCGAGTAGATACAGAGGGCGGAGGAACGGAAAATTAATAATAATATGGTAAATTATGATTATCGTTATGGGGCTAAGTTTTACCCCTGGCCCAGTGCGTTAACCTGTGACCAGCCGATACCTACTCCCAGATCGCCACCCCTCAAACTGTAGTGAGATTAAAATGCGGTCTGTCAGACTATTATTTAGCAGCTAGAGCCTACAGACCTTTTGAAGCATAATCATCAAATGCGATGAAATTTTGTACAATTTAACTGTTTTGAGAATTTATTTCTCATTCTCAATAATAATAATATTGTTCATTTTAGCTGGTTGATAATAATGATGACTCCCTGCAGACTCCCCAGTAAGGAAATGTGGAGTGGCGGTTAGACTAGATAGTAGGAGACAAAAACAACTTGGACTAAATGTCTCAGTGGCCATGTTGCACATTTCTTGTCTCAGTCTTTGCCTCCAGAGGTGTCATATGCAGATGCTATCGCTGCAATGTTATCAACAGCATCATCATTACATCTACTGGAGATTGTAAAACCTGAATTCCGGAGTCCATTCCTCAGGGATGTTGATGGCTCTCTGCCATGTGTGCTTGGATCCGTGGTGCTCATTGGCTCCGCACCATTCTAACCAGAGTCATGGCTGTCTTGCTGCATTGGCCCACCGGTTCTTTTCCCACCCCCTCTCCATTACAAAGTAAGTACTTGGGAAGGTCCTCCATGATGGTTGCTGATAAGAGTCCTTATCAGCACATTTATCTAGCATTCCTGATACATGTTCCTGCTTTTGGAGCTAGTGTAGTCTAAAATCAAACCAAAAAAAACTAACTCACAATCAATCAACTGATGGCGTGATCAATAAATATAGAATGTTGTCTCACAGAAGAATGGATTTATCCATTGATTTATGCTTTCTGAGGGCAAATAACGACAGTGCTGGTACCTGACCGTTCCAACTGTGGTGCGACCGCACTAAGGCCTGGAGTCCCCTGGAAGACGAGGAACTAGCGGGTTAGTGCCCATGCTAAGTATCCACCTGATCAGACTGGGGCCTGGTACCTGCGTCAACAAATCGACAGCATCCGCCATTATTTTATTTTTATCTTTATTTCTACAGAATATGTACTAAGAAGCTAAACCACCGCATCTATGCCTCACATCAAAGGAATCAATATCAACGTCCGTGATTTATGATCAGAGGAACTCTGGTGTGGCTTTCGCATATACATTCCGGGAAGAAGATTCCGAAAACTCGATTTGCTCATCTCTAATACTTCCAAGACTGCCTGTTGCACAGTTCGATGTCATTACATCATGACCATTTCTGAGGGGATGATCAGAAACTAGTCATGTGTGTAAGCTGGCAACCACGGATGTCTCAGTAGACGATCAGCTGCGTAATACCCATATTCTCATGGAGTAGTGTTGTCTCTCTAGGGCCGCTATAGACGTGCAACTGTCTTTGGTCATGGTCTCGCATCAGAAGACTACTAGGTATGCATATGTCATCCAATATATCGATAAGTAGGATCAATCCTGACAGTGATGCCAAATCCTGATCAAGTGACCTGTAGATAGACTCCAGCCACTGCATGACATTGACTCCAGACTAAGGTCTTGCGCCTGTGCAAACTGTAAACTCATGAACCATGGCACACGCACAGACCTCACTTCCACGATCGAGACACGAGATCTTATCTTGGCCCTGGGATACTCAGGACAAATTTCGTATTCTAAGAGCTGGAGATTGGTCGCGTCAGCATCCCGGTTCAACCGGCGTTGACCGTTGACGGCAATCACGGCACCAAAAGTGCAGTATGGGACGGTGTACCTATATACCGGATCGAGCTCAGAGCTGATGCTAAGTAGGCGCTACTGGACCTCGTAGACTTGTACAGAATAAGTGTTGCAAGTATGGGGTAAAAAGCAATAAGGTATTGCTTTTGCTTTTGCATGCTGTGTCTCCTGCTCTATTGAACTCTGTTTCTCTCTCCAGGCATCTAAATCCCGTCGCCTCATCCATCGCTTCATCTAAGCAGTTCATTTTCAATGGCACAAGATAGTCAAGAAGAAATATTTGGAATACTGTCCTCTAGATCGATCCTTCTCCATATCTACCCCATACTCTCTCAAGGATTAACTAACTTAAGCTACTGATGCTGACAAATATTATCACATGCAAATCTCAAAATTATACAACAATGATAATAACATCAACCAGCAGCAAGTTGATACAGCAGACCAAATCAAAGAATCAGTCACGTTCCCTATCAATCTCCAGTCTTAGACAAACACCATGACAATAAAAACCACCTACCTGATCCTCTACAACACCCTCTCATCCACCCTCTGGCTCCGAATCCTCCTCGGCGCCATCGCTGCACTCCTCTCCCCAACCGACCCATTCCCAAAAATTGTATACACTCACCTCGAACCCCAAACAAGATGGACCCAAACTCTCGCCATCGTAGAAATCCTCCACGCCGCAACAGGTCTCTTTCGCATTTCCACTGCGACCAAGTACCAAGCTAACCGGAATACAGGACTAACCCGCGCCACCGTCCTCCCAACTTTCACCCAGATCTTCACGCGCTGCGTCCAAGTCTGGGCCGTGAACTACCAGTATCCCGAGCCGACGGCTTCATCGACTGTCTACCCGGCTCTCCTGCTGGCGTGGTCCGCGGCGGATGCGGTCCGGTATGCGTATTTCGGCTTGCTTCTGGCGGGGATCAGGGTGGATGGTGTTAAGTGGTTGAGGTGAGTGAGATTCGTTTTACCCCGTGGAAAACACGGCATTCATATGGGAATGGCATGGTTGATATTCGCTATACGTAGATACTCCCTCTTCATTGTTCTGTACCCCGTTGGGATTGGGAGTGAGTGGTGGTTGATGTACAAGGCTGCCAATGCTACAGTCAATCCCATAGGGGCGGGGGTTTTCTACTTCTGCCTTGCGCTATATGTTCCTGGTGAGTTTACTGTTACTCGTAATGACTGAAGATGCAAACAAGCTAATAGTTAGGCGCTTTCATGATGTACACGTACATGCTTAAGCAGAGGCGCAAGGCTTTAGAGCGTGAGTAGTGGCGTCCAGCTCGGGTTACTGATCAAGAAAGCACAGATCAGGGACAATATCAGATCAATACAAGGCGACCTTTTATTTAAACACTATCGGGTATCGCTATGCACAGAACCAGAATAACCCATATCACCACCACCAAAGGATGCATCCGACTTCCATGTATCCTAGAGAATGAAAAATAGCCGTAGGCGGTGTACGAAGAAGCAAACCATCCTGCAAGCCCATCACCGGAATGTGAACTGCTTCCCTGCGATCTCTCTCTTGTGCTTCCGGGCTCCTGCAGGCGCCTCCATTGCCTTTGCGTATGGGGCGAATCGCTTAGAGACACGACTGGGGGCTGCCTGCGCAGGCTGAGCGCGTAATACGGACTCGGCAGCTTCATAGTTGAACGGTACATCGTCTTGCGCATCGCCTTCGGGCTGTGGTTGCGACTTGTTCTTCTTGTTCTTCTGGCGCTGCTTCTTGGACGGCTTCTCCAAGGCATCTCCAGTCTCCAGGTTAATCTCGTCCAACTCAACCGATGGCGCAGCCTCGGCTTCTTCGGCTGCCACTGCTTTGCGTTTGCGAGGTCCGCCCATCTCCTTGACGGTGAATATTTTCTTGCTGTCTTCTTCTGGCGCTGGAGCAGGGGCTGGAGCAGGCTTCGGTGCTGGTTTGGTGTCGCCAAGCTTCTCGCGAGCTTCGGATACAGTCCGCGGCATGGGCGGCAGGGGAAGAGAAAGTCGAAGAGCCTCCGCAGAGGCGATTGCAGAATACTCCGGAGGCGTAAGCGGCTCCCGGACTTCCAGGACAGGTCCCCAGAACTGAGAAGACTCGTAGCGCGCTGCAGTAGGGTACTCAATTGCCTCGGCGGCGGGGGCGACGGGAGACCCTTTTCTGCGGCTTGCGCTGCTGTCGTTTTCAATGGCCGTACGACGTCGCGCCATTCTGGTCCCGTAGCTCCTTCAATCTTCGCCTTCTTGATAACTTCCAGGAGATCCGCTGCTCGGTCCTTGGCAATCGGCGTCACGGGAGATAACGTCCGGAACAAAGTACCCTGGTCGAGGGGCATAACTTGGGCAATCTTGAAAAGAATGTGCTTCGGAAACACGCACTGAACGCCCTCGTCCTCTTCCCTTGCCACCTCATCGCGCCATTGGTGCACTGCTTTGAAGACGGCAAACTGTTCCTTGCTCAGAACGGCAGGGTTGCGGTACAGATAGTCATACCATCCGCCTTGCCCTTGTCCCGTGGCAGGGTCGTAAACGGGGCGCTCGTAACGTTGTAAAGCTTCGTTCTTTGACTGTTCCAGTACATAATCAACGAGATTGTGGTCAGGCGTCGAGTTCTCCAACAGCTCGTTGCGTAGGTGGTCGTAAATATAGAGGAGGTAGTGAGTATCGGAACGGGCATAGTCAAACATTCCCGACGGAAGAGGACGGATTCTCCAGTCGGCCATCTGATATCTCTTGTCTGCTTCGAAGTTGACAAACTTCTGAAGGAGGAACTTCAAGCTCCGTTTCGGGTAGTTCAAGGCACAGGCGGCGTGGTAGGTATCGAACATGCCTACAACGTAGAGGCCAAGATCCCGCTGAAGCCAGATAATATCCATGGACGAGCCATGGAGGACTTTGAGAATTCCAGGATCCGCAAAGACCTCATTGAGAATCTGGAGCTCTTCTCTCCAAGGCTTCAGCGTGTCAACAACCCAATCCTTGTCCCGAGTGCTAATCTGCATCAGAGAAACCAAGCCATGATACGAGTGCACATCGTGATGCTCCAAATCAATAGCAATCTCTTTTGCCGACTTGAGCTCGGTCAACATTTCCTTCACTCCTTCCAGGGTGTCCACGAACGTCGCAGCTGTCGATTCAAACGGCTGGTACTGGACCGGAGGAGAGACAGTATAGGTCGATTCTGGATACTTGGCAGCGCGGATCTCCGTTTCGTACGGATTCTTATAACCCTGCGCAGGATCTGTCAATTTCAACGAATCCTCCAACGGAACAATCGCGTGAGGCTTGATTCGAAGAAGAGGCTTAAAAGGCGAAACATCGGTGTTATCGGGGGGCGCTGAAACAACAATTGCGGCTTGGGGATCTTCGACGGGCCGAAATCGTAAACGGAGGGGAACTTGGTGGAAGCCTTTTTGGCGGCCCTTGCTGCGCTCTGCTCCTGCTGCGACGGGCTCAATTTCTTGATGACTCCCGTAAATTCGTCGAGACAGGCGTCTGCCCTCTCTAGCAGCGCATCAATAACATCAACAACACCGCGCCAGTTGTCTTCAATAGAGTCTTCATCGTGCAGTTTAGGCGCGGGTAAATCCGTCCCGGCTGTGGCAGCCTTGAGAATCGTCGAGGTCAACGACAAGATCCTATCACTCTGCTCATCCAAGGATTCCGAGACTTCGGCGCTCGAGGTCCGGTGGAAACTCAGATCCTCTGCAGAGAGCTGTCCAACGGTGCGCGTCATCTGCACCAGACTGGACGTTAACCGTTGCTGAAACGGTGGGAAATCTGCCGCAGACTCCATGATTGGCAGAGTATATCTGAGTCCAAAGCCGAACTCAGCCAAGCAAGAGACGAAGAGACAAGAAATGTAAACTCGCAGCAGCAGATAATAACCTGAAAAATTGAGGAAAGCTCGGAGGTGGAGAAATGCGCCCGCCGGACGAAAAATCACCGACCGCCTGCCGTGATCGGTCTAGCCGCGGTATATCGGCGATCGTCTCCAGCTACAAGAATCTCGACTCCAAGTATACTGGTTCCATAGACAATCCCATTGACAGCGAGACATTGAATGCGGTGAAAGAGGGGGAGGGTCGAACATTATTCCAATCTCTTTGAAATACACCAACCGGTCCAGACACAGTAAGCTAGCTCGTCATGGCAGCTTCCATAGCCCCAGAATGCAATGACCTGAAAGAGTATATTTTCCCCAGCTACTGCCACTGGCAACCACAGACAAAAGAGCTCGAACTGACACCTCCCAGAAAGTATGATACCTGCTTCTTGAAGTGGTACAGCGAAAGTACGCATCTATTCTGCCCCTTCTAGCAAACGTAGACAATGCCCGCTAACTATGACAGAATACCTTCGTGGCAAAACCTCGTCAAATGAATGCGAAGAACTATTCTCAAAGTACAAATCTTGTCTACATGTATGTCAAAGCAGGCATCGTAGTATCTCTGCCATCTAGACTAACAATTCGATCAGAAAGCGTTGAAAGAAAAGGGCATCGACACCATGGTTGCGGAGGCAAGAAAAAGTGCTGCCTCGGAAAGCGATGCTGACTATCTCCGGAAAACGTGAAGTGACGTTGGTCACCGGTCCCCTGGAATGGGGACAGACACTCTCCCTCATCTCCGCTCCTGCAGGCAACATCTCCTGGATGCTTGCCCTCCAAGACTAAGTCGGGTTCTGCTAACCACTATTTCCGGCTTTGGACGGTTTCCGCTGAAGCATGCCGAATTCATGTGTTATGACTTGAACATATGCTCGAATGTTCTATCTGAGCTATATATATATCCACTGACTGGAAGTCTGTCTTCAAGGACGACGGATTCTCTTATGTATAATACTTTGGCGCCTTCCTCGCATGCTTGTACCCTTATTCATAAATGTAATCATATCTGGAGGCTACATTTCCACGCGAAATGCCCGCCCAACTCGTTGATCAGAAATGATGAAATGGTCCCAAAGCATCGTGTGCAAGGACTGAGGCAGCCCAACCGTGCAACAGACTAGGCGTTAAATCTCTTAATTATATACGTCATGACATATTATTCACATTATTAAGCATTAATACCGGTGGCCCCGTCGTCTGGTGTCTCCTTGTCCAAACCCCGATGGAACCCTAAGTAACCCATTGGTAGCCGTGACCCCTCCCATCGAAGAAGAGCCACTGCTACTGCTGCCTGTCTTTCGGGGCTGGGTCAACAGAGACCACACCTCTGCCATACCTGCCCGATGCGCAGGGAGCATGCTGTACTGCATACTGTACAGGTTACGGCGGTGGATGGGAGGCACAAAACGGCCAGTGAAGAGGCAAAATATCACGCGCGGAGAAAGATAGTGTTTCCGAAGACGATGACCTAGTTGGAAGTATTGGTCGAACATGGCGCGGAGGGGGAGTGGAATCGACTATCTCAATCAGGACTTACTCTGACAGTAATCTTAATGGAACGACGAATCAGGTGAACATACCTCGAGATGGATAAAAGGCACAGTGGAGCGAGGATGAAGAGACCTGTCCTGTTCCTCGCGTAGTTCGAAACGGATACCACCTCACATTTAGTCAGTGACTGCTGGATCAAGCAGATAAGCAAAACCAACACACCTGGTAACCGTCGGGAATCCTTCACGCGCAGCATCAACGCAAACAGAGGGAAATGGTTGAGAAAAGCCAAACATGTGTCAAGTGCCGCTTTTAGCGAGATGATCAACATTCTCGCAGAGGCAAACGTTAGATAAAATACAATCACGGTCGGCAGAAGGAAGAAGAGAACTGTGAAGAGGATAGTGCCGAGCAGAAGCTGGTCAAGATCGTAATCACACGAGTCTATTCGACGCCGAAGGACGTTGCGCTTCTTCCCGCGGAAGAGATGAAAGAGAGATATGATGATAGTAAGTTGCCAATTGAATATGCGGGCGGACGCAACATAGAACGAGTAGATATGCACAGTTAGAATGGAGACGAGATCTGAAAAAAGGGCGATCGGCATGCTGGCTCCGGCGAAACTCGAGCATCCAACGACGTATATGACATGCGGGAGGTAAGGCTGCAGATTCGCAATGCAAGCTGCCCCAAAAATTAGCGAGAGATAACAATAGGTCTAGTAGAAGAAAAATGCATACCGGCCCAATTCTCAATGACCCAGAGAAAGAGGTCACCCAAGAATGCAGCAAGCTCGTTATTAAGCTTCAAGCCCGCCGGCCAGTCCATCAACCACGATATAGTCCGCTGCAAGCCTTCTACTGTCCAGCCAGTGAGGACACTGTTGATTTGGAAAGCCACCCAATTGGCGTTGTCGATGATGTATGATCCCAGCGCAATACCGATGATCACATCATTGGCAACGAGCCACAAGCTGTTGTAGAAACGGATGTAATCCGGATGACTCGTGGTAACACTCTCCCAGTCGTCTTTCCTCTGGCGCAGCTTAACGTACTGTATCGGCCAGTAGCAAAACTGCTGGAGGCGAATGTCAACCTGTTGAGCCGTCGCCGAGATGTCTTTCAGGGCAGCTGCATCAGGACGAGCTCGCCACTCAAGTATCTGCAGAACAACCTCGGCAATCGTACGATGGAAGACAAGGCCGATGATGAGAATACGAGTGGCCACCGGCCAGATCCATTGCCAGAACACATACGAGACCCCGAGGACAAAAAGGTCCCAAAGAGTTGTGGCAGACTCGACCACGCGTTCTCCCACGCTCATACTCCGCTTAACCCGGATTCCAATCAGATGACTATTCTTTTCCATCAGTCTTCCCATTTCATAAGCACAATTGACCTGGTTGATGATGAGAGGCAGTGCTTGCTCCTTAAGCGAAGGCATATGTTTGACGACTGTGTGTAATTTCAGCTTCTCGACCAGCTTGTTCCGCACTGCTCTATCCCGCTCCTCTTCGGCATCGATGGTCGAAGGTACAACCTCTGGTTTATCAGCGATGGACACTTTATCCCCCAGAGCAAGGGAAATCGGATCCAGGGACATGTACTCCATCCTGGTCGGATGTGGACGATGAAACATGATAACCTGAACAGATATATTCGCCTCCGGCGGGCAATATATCCGAGGGACTTTAGACGACGGATGCGTTGTCACATAGAGATGGGCCGGGTTAAATGCCGATGGCGGTTCTTGTGGATTAGTTGATCCCAGAACATGCATTGTCGATCTTCCACAGAGCGTGAATATCCGCGCAATTGGGTGAGGGCTGTTGCGAAAGAGGATTCCAGCACGTAGTGCATTGTCGACATTTCGAGGCTATCCCACGAGTCAACCGCCAGCTCCCCAAGCCGAGCTGCCCACTCGGGACAGGACGCTAACTTACCTCAACATCTTCCAACACCGTGAGGACGAACAGATCCAGTTCAGAGTTCCTCCATCCAACAATCACCCCCGGGGATGAGGACCGAGGGAGGTCGTATGGCCAGAATACCCGTAGCAATCCATCGCCCATGAGCATGTTGTCATCCTTCGATCCGGATCAAAAAGAGCCTCGCCGGCGTAGCTGTTCGCGAGCGGACACACCCAGATGCGGCGGGCGAGGGTGCTACCATACGAAAAAAAAAAAAAAGCATCAGCATACGATCCCTCAACAGCAATTGACATCGGATAGGACCATTTACCAATTCAGCTTCCTTTATCGCAAGATGGTTGATCGGAAGGACCAAGAGGAAGAAGAAGACCGATAGCAACAAAAAGCCTTTGGCTGTTCGTGTCTACGAACAAGGGTTATTAGCTCTATTGTCTTCACATTTGTGGTCCTGTATTCGGCAGCCATAATTCTAAGTAGGAGCGGTTGCGCGAACCGAGACGCACTTACCACGACACCGTGATCCCACGCAAAAATGGCCAGTTCGTACAACCGCGTAACAAGATCCCACCGCGCGGTGATATAGCCAGCTACGAAGATACCGAGAGTGAGGATGGAAAAGGGGTGCATGAATCCAGAGTTTAGCGTTTCCGCCTTTGCGATTTAGTCCGCACGCATCGCCGAGGGGAGGTTGAGAATTGGTGATTGGAGTGAATTTTGGTAGCGGAGGAGCAAGAGCGTCGAGCCAGTCCTTTGCGACAAGATAGCAGACTGTTTTGTCCGAGATTCGTTAGGTATTGGTTGTTGCGGATTGTTGCGCTCGCTTGTGTAGAGTCCCACGTCTGGCCGAGATACGGAGTACCTAAGCGCCAGACTGCAGCCGAGAGCGTACTAGAACTGGTCCAGAATAGGTATAGTTGCAGCTTATCGGCTAGTACCAGTGTGGCCCAGCAAGGACGCCTATAGATGTCCGTCGATGAACACAGTGTATTTCCCAGGGCGAACTTAACCAGAATCAGATCTAATTAATTACCAGTATTCGAGTTGTTGATCTTTCCATAAGGTACTAACACATGCATATAGATGGAGTTGCCGCTTTAAGAAGTCGAGCTCGTTGAGTCATGTGATTCACTCAGTCTTATTGTTCTCCTACTCTGGCTACTTCGCTACCTCGCCAACGAAGTCGAGATGCAATAGAGGAGATATCTGGCCTCGCTGTGAAATGCTGGTCAACAGCTACCCCTATTATGTGGCACGAGGAGGCATCCCTCTCCTCTTCCTCTAGATCTCCTGTTCTCTAACCTTCTAATGCTGTGCAAATTGTGCAAAGCGCGTCTTTTGCTATATCTCTCTAGTTTAATTCCTACACAGCATGTACTTGTGAGAGATGATGGGCATGTAGCTAAAGATGATTAGTTGCTGTTGATCCGTCAACAGGCCGGGAATTTCTCGATGATGGTAGGATAGTACTGGACTTTGATCGCGGCCCCTTGTAAGGCTCTCTAGCCTGTTTTATAAGGTATCTGCTCACATGGCCATCTAGGGAATGATGTCGAACAGTACAAGTTGGCTGTTGGTCTTCGCGAGATTGCCTGTCTATATGGCTCTGGGACATATCGTCCATCTTGGACCAAAAAGATAGCTGCTCTTCAGAACTATCTTCGCCTGGTGAAATTTCTTCTACTGACAGATGAATCACTCTCGTCCGCCTATCTATGGCACCCCGAACTTCATGCCGAGAATATCTTTGTCCACCCAGAAAGACTATCAGAAGTGCTAGGTATTATATAGACTGGCAGTCAACCGAACTATTACCGCTTTTTGACCACGCGCGCCAGCCATATTTCCTTGATTACGATGGCCCTCCGTCGACACAGACCTTGATCCACTAGCATTTCCAGAGAATTTCCATGAGATCAGCCCTGCCGAGCAAGCCAAAGCCCAGAACCTGTATCTGAAAATGTCACTCTCAGCTTGTGATTGAAGACTGGCTTGTAATAATAACAAAACACTGTTCAGAGCCATGGAATTCCGACAGACAACAAGTTCTGAGTTGATGCTACTTGCTCAAAATCTCCTTATAGCCGGGGAGGCGCTATACCAACTTCGTTGTCTCGAACTTGAAAGAGGAATGGTCGAGTCTTCCAGGCGTGCAAGTCTCTGGCAATCCGCCGTTTCCTTTGCAGTTTTCGGCGGATGAGGCTGAAGCAGTTAGCGAAGATGCGTCTGGTGCAACTAGGGCAACGAAGTTAATGCGGGACTTGAGACAGTTCGTTAGGTGAACTATGGCCTGATAAAGGTGTTGTACGGCCAGAGCAGTATGACGATGCAAAAAGGCTTCTGAAACAAGCAAAGACGGAGATGATTGATCGGCTCGCTCATTCTGAAGCGGAGAGAATTGCAATGGGAAGAGTCATGGCCATTTGATGATTGAAAACCGCAATCTCTTAGTCGACTATCCTGATGCTTGGGCACTTTTGTAGACAGTATTGCCATATAGCGGTGATCGTGCCATATGGCCTAAAATAGTATACCAGGGTAGCGACATCTCAAAGACTAAGAACAGAATTATATCATTGTAAACCGGTACATCTAGCCATTTGACTTTGACCCTTGTATACACACCCAACGCCTTACGCTATACCCGAAACTTCAAAGTAGCTATATGAAGACCATCACAAAGCC